ATTGAATATTCAAGGAATAGATGAATTTATAGATAAGCGTGTTCTGAATTTCCTTGTTTAGTCGCCTCTACATTAATCGGTTTCACTGTAACACGAATTTTACTGCAAAATTTTGTGATGACTAATACTAATTCTGTTTATATTCAGTATGTTGGAGGAACAACTTAACCATAAGTTTATATGAGTAATACTCGCTCTTCACAATAAATGATTGCTATCTTTTAAAAGAAGAATCTTTGAATCTTTGAATAAAACGACAAGTGAATGTGTAAATAATTAAAAATGATTTCTACTGCATACATAATATTTTATTATTACAACATGACGTCCAACAGATTATTATATTTACACACAAATTTTATAATATATATTTAGATACATTACATTTATATACACATTAAATAAAATTATATATCTACAAAGTGCTTGCGCTGTTATCTGGAATGTTATTCAATTCTCCATCTGGATTTTTCCAATAGTAATATGGTGGTCCCTGACTAAAGCAATATTTCATCGAAAGCGGTTCATCGTTTTCTACATAATACATTAAGTAGAAATTGCACATTTCATCCTCATTAGTTGCTCTAAATTTATATATAAAAATATTTATAAATAAGAACACTTATGCTTATGTGTTTATATGTATAAATTTTCTCACCCGATTTCTGTTACTCTATGTCTTGTACTTTTCATTGTGCACCTAGCTGCTAAGTGATCACCAAATACTATCGGATCTTTATTTTCAACAGGATAAAACATTTGTGGTGTTAAAGGATTTCTTTTTCCAAGTAAAGTCCATTGCTGAACTCCTTTCTCATTAGCTCGAACTCTATAACCTGATACAACTTTGCCTAAACTGTGGGTGTGGGTACGATATGCTATAGGATATATTGTTTTGTGCTCATTTATCTCACAAGCTGTTTCCATATGTTCAACAGCCATTGGTGGAATTAAACCAGCTGTGCCTAAAAGTATGACACCAGCTCTTTTATTTAATCTGCAAAATAGGTAATTCATATTACTTATTCCAATAGATTTATTCAATGATATAAAGTTCTGAAAAACTCACTGTTTTGTAGTGTAACTGATAAAAACTCCTGAGTCGTCAGTACTGCCATCTGAAAATCAAAAATAATTAATAATTAATAATAACAAGAATAATAATTATAATTAATAATAGTTTTAAGTGTATTAATTACTGTTTTAAACGTATTTACTGTAAGATGCATTGATTAACTCTTACAAAATACGAAACTATTATTATGCAGTTTTTATTGTATATTATAAAATCAAGCTGTTATAATGATTATCTACTTATTAAATATAATCACCTAGGATTTGATGGAAGTTACAAAAAAAATTTATTTTCTTGAAAGTTATTATTATTTAATTTTCAAGTCAAACAGGATTATCATAATCATATTGTTATTATATAATTAGGTATTTGAAGATAAATCATAAAGTTCATTGTCTGTCTATACATATTATTATTACAAATCAATATTAGATGACCACAAACACTATTACTCTCTTAATCTATTCTAGATAATAATTCTAGAAATAAGTTAGAAGTAATTTTGAGTTATGTTATATCTTTCTTCAGTTTTTTCTTTAAAATCTTTAGATGCTATGAACTTGGAATTTATTTAAAAGTTTATTTTAAGATATAAAAAATACAGGCAAAGATATATTAGTTGAATATTAGGTATTTGTAATGTTTGTAGTGAATGTTTGAATTTTATGTACACTATGTATACTGTTAGCCAAAGGTAAAGTAAAGAAATTATAGAAAATCTGTAAAGGTTTGGTTTAAAATGTTTGTCCTATTGATTATAATAACATATTTGATTTGTTTTAATTTACCCTTGAATTTATCGATATGTGCGTAGTGTACTTGTAAAACCATATATTTGATTTGAGAGCTGGCTCCAACTTTAAAGCCAACACCTTCAGGTAACTCAAGTTTTGGTGCATCCCTTGCCCATGCATATAAGATCTAAACGAATAAAATATATTATTTTTTAATGAATAAATTTCACTTCATGTTCAAGCGTTACTTGTGAATGACCATGACTTCCACATGGGCTTACAGCTTCTTCAGCATTCTTTTTTGACATTTCTCCACAATTCCTAACAAAAAAAAAAAATTATTTATTATTAAATTATTATTAATAATTTTAATATTAATATTAAATATATATTATAAATTATATGTATTTATGCATTTTTTGACATTTTTACACAGTTTCTTATTTATAGTAAAAAAAAGTCTTTATTATGAATATATAAATTTTATCATATATAAATGTTATATACTGTAAAATTTAGAAGTTATATATAAAAATCATTATGACTATAAATTATAAATAAATTATTTTGATCTATTTTCAATAAGTTTTGGATTATTACTGGGCCTATATAAACGATCTCTTTATTTAACAGATAAAATTATTTAATTATATTTTAATTTTATAAAATATTTGTTATATTACAGATATTATGGTCTACTTCGTAGATCACCTTCAGTGTACAATGCTTAACATAATTATATATATGTAATTAAATATTTAACGCAAATTATTAAGTGCAATTTTTTATTTAGTAAACATTTTTATAATTTTATGTATTAAATGAACGACATAAGCCCAATACTAATCCAAAACTTATAAATTATAAAAATATAAATAACTACAAAATAATAGAAGTAATCATATTTAATCTAAATATTTTTATATAATTTTCTATAGACGTGTAATATTTTAATTAACATATTGTATATATGTATATATAAATTAGTAAAAACTAATTGAAAAATGATAATGAAAATATATTTTTACGATTTGACATATAAATTTAAAACTTTAGCTATTATATTGAAATATTTTCGTATTATTTTTACGTACCAAACAGGCTTAATAGATCCTGGTTCTTCACATCCATATAAAAGCATATGGTGTGCAGTGTTCATTGTTGCATTTGGTTCATAGCCAACTAATTATTAAAAAATAATATTATAAGATAAATATATTAAATAAATATTATAACTTACTGATATAATAGCTTGAGGAAGAATCAACTTTCACAGGGGTACATAAATATAATTCGGGCTAATAAATATACAGACATATATTATTATTTAAATATAAAACTTTAATAATAGAAAAAATATTATAAAACTTATATAATGTATATATATTAAAATATTATATATATATTATATTATATATATATGTTATATTATTATATTATGTATATAATATAAAATTTAAATATATTCATGATTTTTTTTCACAACATACGGTAATAATATATGCTTATTTTATTTTAGTCATATATTGCTTTTTGTTGTAAAATTCATTTTTTTTTTTTGCATAGCAAATTCGAAATATTGATTTTACTACAAACATACAGACAAGTTCATCGTAAAAACCCATTCTCTTGCACAGGTACAGAAATAAATGATAACATACGCGAACGTGTAAATTTTTATTAAGTGATGCTGTAGATGATTTTAATTATTATGTATGTTATATAGCAGTTTTATATTATCATTTACTATTTGTTAAATCAAAATAGTAAAAATAAAAAAAAAATCACCTGTTTAAATATAAGTTATATTACATGTACATACATATAAGCTATTATGTAGAGAAATTTTCACACAACGTAATTAAATAGTGAATTAATATATTTTGAAGTAACACGTATGTATATAAAATAGATTTCAATAAATACATTAAATGTACATATTAACTACTTACAATATTTGGCCTGACATTTGGCATAAGTAATGCAAACTTTCCATTTGTGGAGTCGTTATTAGTATAGATGTCTTCTGTATCCGGAATCAAGCCATTAGAAAATTTTAATATTAAAAACAATAGAAATGGAAATATATTCCATTTTCGACACAACGTGCTCGATTTGAACATTTTTTCATTAAAAATCATCTTTCTTTATGTACCCATATGTGCATACAAATTATCTCCTTAACGCCACAAGTATTTTTGCATTGTACCCACAAAAATAGAATTTACGTGTTTGTACCTTTCAGAAGGTTGCCAATGCTACCAGATCGTAAATAATTAAATTAATAAAAATCTTAACATAATACCAAAATACTGTTATGTATGGCACACAAAATATGAGTATAACATAATATATTTGAACAGAATTTACTTACAAACAAATTATAATTAGCATAAGCATAAGAATTAGTATAAATTAGAATTGGGATACTGGAAACTATATAAATAATATTATGTAAATTAAATTATAAAAACTATACCTTAAAATTGTTTGGATTTAATGAACAATCTACAATATCAAATACTGTATATATTGGATATATAATGTTAAAAACCAAAGACCGAAAATAACAATTATTTCAGAACTTTTAAGGAAGAAAAGCAGCAACAAAAAGTTGTGTAAATTCTTATTTAAGTATATAGTTATCATTCTAGAACGTTTCATTCTTATACAAGTTTCATTCTTAATATTATACGTCTTTTAAAATAAAACTCAAAAATAAATATATAATTTGCTTTATAATATATTTTTCAAAAATAATTATTATTATGCGCTTTTTATTTTTCCACGCACAAACTCATGCACTCTGTTTTTTACTTTAAAACCAAAAATAATTATTATTCTTGACTTAATTACATAAAAATCAAAAGTCATTATTATTTTCTAAAACAGAAAAAAAAAACACTTTTTTGTGTGTTGTAGTTGTTTTTGTAATTTCATACAAATTTGAGTTTTATTTTAAAAGACCTTTAGCTGTTGATGAATATTTCAACATGAAAGAATAAAAATCTAGTTAGTAAATTGTTTTTTTTTTAATTTTTATATTATATTATATTATAATATATTTTAGTACTGAAAAACCTTTGTGTCTTTTAAGAAAAAAATTTTAATATTATAAGAATATTTATGGCTTTTAGTGAATTGAGTAGAAGTAACATCAATTTGAATGAAAAACATGGAAAACAATGATAATTAGTTTTATACAAATATATTGATGTTTAATAATAATAGGCGTATTCGGTGGCTCGCAAGTACGGCAAAAAACAGCAAGTTGCTGGCCTATGCAGGCCTATACTGGCCGCAATGTACGCAAAACAACAACACATCGGCCAACCACATCGGCCAGTAAAAAAAAAAAATGTTACCAACGCAATAAGCGAACTATTGTGAACCTTCATTGAAAATTCCAACGAATAGTGCAATCAAATGTCAAAAATTGAGGAAATAAAAATTCAAACAGAATTCAAAAATTGGAAAAATCTTGAAAAGTAACGAAAAAATAATAAGAATGTAGAAATCGTAAGTATTAAGCACATTGAATTTTTTTTTTATGTTAGTTATTACCAAGTAACATTTATTTTATTTCATTTAATTTGTAGTTTACATGCATAAAAAATTTTTTTATAGAAGTAAAACGTTGCTTTCTTCTCCCAACATCGACAGTACCTACAAAAATTTACTTATCTTAGTGTTTTATTTTTAAATTTCCAATATTCTTACCATTCCTTTTAATTCCTTGTTTATTTTAATTTTATAATATTTTTATAAAAATAAGATTTGCTGTTTGTCAAAACAAAACATTTGACAGATTGCAACAGTGATGCCAATGACTCGCGTGGCCAACATAGGCCAACATGCATTTTTTGCCGTACTTGCGAGCCACCGAAAAGGCCTAATATCACTTATTAAATGTTAACTTATTTGCCATTGTGTATTTTTATAATAAACAAATACAAATAAATATTAAATTACATATTTCCTCATTCATATGTCTCTTTCAAACTGGAGTTTATCAAGTAAAATTGAAGAATGTCGATTTATGGTTAAAGAAACTGTTCTCTTATATCCGGCATTTAATCTCTGCTTTTTCATAAATTTGTTTTGTATTTGTTTTGGCCAAACATTTTTCTGAGTATTTTCCTTTCAAACACTGCTATCTTACTTGCTTCAGTTTCAGTTAATCTCCATGTCCCGCAGCCATATGTTACCACTGGGTGAATCAATGTTTTATACATTATTAGATTTATTTTCTGTGAAATATTATTACTTGTGATTAGTCGTTTTAATCAACAGTAGGCATTGTTTCTAGCTTGTACTCTATTTTTTTATGTAATCATTAATAGATTGTTCTCGTTAAACACAACACCTAGGTAGAGCAACTGACACCTTCAATTAAATGGTTGTTAATGTTTAGGAAATTTGGAGTAGATTTTGTTACTGAGATTAACATGTATTTGGTTTTTTCATAGTTTATTGGTAATATATATTTTGTTGATAGCAATCATTGTTGTTATTAATTTATAACATTGATGCTTCTAATTTTCTTTTGTATTATAACCGAAGAAGTTAAAAGTGTGATTTCATCTTGAAAGTTTTCTGTGGCGCTTTGACTATGTATATAAATTAATTATTTTATTTATATACATATAACATATCAATGCATAAGATATACATATTTGTTATCTTATAATAATTATTTCTAAAATATTTCTTTATTTCTAAAATAATTCAAAGTACGCGCTCTTCATTTTAAGTAATGTTTGACGTAACGAAACAGTACCCTACGAATTGTATGTTTTTGACATTTTTCATGCAGCAAGCCTTTACTGCTCACTTTAACATGTTAAATAAATACTTGCGTTAAAACATAATGCAACCCTGCTTTTCGATGTTAAATTTCGTGTTAAAATATTTAACACCAAAAAGTAGCAACAACAATTGCAATTTTTTTAACGCGTTTTAATATGCATTTTAACACCAACATGAATTTAACAAGTTAAAGTAGTGAAGATATGTTTACAGTTGCGAAAATTTAAATAAAATGGACTACTATAAAAAAAAACATTTTCGTTGGTCTTCAAAATATGAAGAGATATTGATTGATTTATGGGCCGAAAATTTGTCAGATTTACGTGGGATGAAGCGCAACGCTACTGTGTATGCAAAAATTAGAGCGGAATTAGAAAAATGTAATGTGTCTGTGACTTGCGCAGAAGTAAAAAACAAGCTACACAATCTCTCTAGCAAATATAAGTAATATTCAATTTATATAAAAAAATAATATACATTTTACGTGTAAAAATGAAACATTTGCATTTCAGAAGGGAGAAGGAAAAAATCAGCAGTGATGGCACTGTCTCTACTTGGCCTTTATATAATAGAGTCCATCAGGTTATTGGCAGCTTCAACTACATCAACACGGCGGAGTGCATGGACGACAGTTTTCAACGTATGGAAATAATAATAACTATGTTGAAGTATATGCTTTGTATATATTAATAATAGTACAATTTTTTTATTTAAAATTTTTAGCCGAACTGCTGTCGCCGCCAACACCAAATACCCCAGAGCCACCATCTGAAAATGAAGCACTACAATCACCAATTTCTTCATTCATGGAAGATACAAATGCTACAATGGATTTCCAAGAAAACAGTCGTACGGTTAGATGGAATCCAGAGAGCACTCAATTATTATTGCAGGCCGTCTATGAAAAAGTTCGTGAAGATGTAGACAATTTTGAGGTATACTTGTTGCTCTTATTAAATTTTAGTTTTAGTAACTAGAATTTTATAGAGACCAATTGCTATTGCATTCTACAACGAAATTAGAGCAGAAAATGTTGATTTGAAACAGTTCTCATGGAAAAGTATGCGCGATAAAATGAGGTCGTTGCGATTAAAGTATAAAACTGCAATAGATTGGCGGGATATGAATGATACAGGACTTTTAAAAACCGATGAACCTAATTCTATGCATAGTAATAAATTATAATAGTATTACTAGTTTTTTAATTATTATTAATATTTTTTATTTTTAGATTACATTAGAACAAATTGTCCATTGTTCAATGAATTGGACAAAATATTTGGAGTTCGAGAAAACACAACCGTTGAAGGGGTTGACGATTCAAAGTATTTGATTTATATAAAAGAAGAAAGCGAAAGAAGCTTCATGGATTATGTTGCAGATGAAGCAGACGAATTCGGTGAAGCTTCTGATATACAAATTTCCGATGAAGTACCTTATAGCTTTAAAGCATCTCAGAAACATTTTGATCAAATTAGAATGAAACAAAAGACTAATTGTAACAATAATAGCGCGATATCATACCGGTCTTCGTTGGAGAAAGAAAGCCCAACGGTTAATAAAAGTAAATTAGAATTTGATAAAAAAATTGTAAAAGAACTAAAACATGATTTAAGTGGAGTAGAATTTAATGAATTTGTAGAAAAAGAAAAGTTATCCATAGAAAGAAAGAAGTTGGAAATAGAAGAAAAACGTTTAGAACAAGAAGCTATGTTTAAGCTAAAAGAATTAGAATCTAAAGAAAGACTAGAAATTTTACGTATTGAAAAAGAATTCGAATTAAGTAAATACGAGTTAGAAATGAAATATAAATATAACAAGATTGAATAATTTAAAATTATATAAGTTTATGTATTAGATTTTATTTCTAGCAATATATAAAAATGAAATGATGTATAATAAAATATTTTTATAATAAAATTATACTATTGAAAAACTGTATGCATATATGAGTTGCTTCTCAAAGTAAAAACTATTAGCATTATTTAGTTATGATATACACAGCACAGCTGATACGTCAATAATTTGATTTATTTTCTAAAAGTTCGATTTCTTCATTGAAGTTAAAATTATTTACTGATACTGTGTGTTGCTTTTCAAAGTAAAAACTATTAGCACTATTTTGTTATGATATACACTGTACATCTGATATATTAATAATTCGATTTATTTTTTAAATGTTCGATTTATTAATGAAGTTAGAATTATTTACTGGTATTGGTAACTTTGTGGTTAACACTGACAAACGTATTCCTTCTGATTTTAAGAGGTTAGTCTAATTTCCAATTTTTTTAAAATTACTTATCGAAAAAGGGATAAAAAAAATGATTCCATGTGTTTGCACTAACTTCACCATAAATAATGGTATTTGAAATAATAAATAATGAAGAATTGAAATCGCCCTGACAAAAACAAAATGTAGATTTTTGTAATCGCATATTAACGCTACTTTTTATAAAAATATCTGCTGCATCCTTCAACCTATTTTTACTAGAAAAAATGCCTAAACGGACGATACGAACACTTCAGCATTATTATATATTCGGAAAGTTCTGCAGTTATAAAATCTCTTCAATTCTGGAACACCAAAACAAAGTTGATCAGATTCTGTGAAAAATTCATATCTGAATGTTACTATGAATAAAGAAACACTCCGCTAGTCAACTGTAACAAAATATCTGACTTCATTAGTGCTGAGATTATTCAAGTAAACAATAAAAATCTCAGTCTAAATACAATAGAACTCAGATTAATAGTTAGTTTCTTCACTAGACAATCTTGTGGTCCCTACCATTTTTGAACGAAAAAATTAAATTAAACTGACACCTACAAGTTCTCTGAAGTGCAGAGTCATACTTCCTCCATACCTCCTCTCAACTTCCAATTTAATATCAATTAAATTATGAATTAATCATAAAGTCCTGATCCAAAAAGAGAACAAACTTGTATCCTATTTCGTATAATAGCTACCTAGATATTTAAAACATCACGAAAATTCTTGAAAGAATCAGTAGTTTCCGTATTTTCACCTTGATATTGTACTAAATTAAACAGGTATTCACTATTTAGTTTAAATTATTTGATTTTTTTTATTAATATATATTTTATTACAACTTTTGTTCTACAATGTTTATTTTATTTATATATCTTTTTCATGTGTCTATATATTTTTATTATAGAATAAATCTATGTATATTATATATATGTATAAATATAAATATATATATATATATATATACTTGTATATATAGTGGGTATATATCATACATAAATTATATATATGTAATACACACATATATACGTATATATTTATATATATATATATTATTTATATTTTTTTTACAATTATTAAGCTTTCGTTGGGAACATTTCATAATTCATTTCATGTAATGTACTTTTAATAGCCAGCGCATAATTCCTCTTGAATGCTGTTAGATCTTAATAGTTGTGCTGTTACTGATCCTTCTACTAATGATAACGGTTTTGCTTCTGAAGATTTGGCAGCCTTCATTTCATTGTATACATTGCAGAAATCCTAAAATGATTTTTAAGTAATTAAAAGACACAAATTATTTTTAAATTTATATACCATAAGGGCGGAGCCTGGGAATATAGCTCTTTCACGTTTCTTGATCATATAGTCTGAAGACATAAGCCAACGATGTTCCAAGCAGTCTTCAGCATAAGGTCGTTTTCTAAAACATGAAAACATGAACAGTTAGAACAGTTTGTGAAATTAATTGTATCATTAAAAATATTTACGTTGGATTGCGTTTAAACAAGAACATAACAAAACGTGTAGCTTCAGGAGTTACTTCTCTGAATAGATTTTCAAATCGATATCTTACAAATGATATATTTTGTTTAGTTTCGTTATCGTCTGCACCACGGAATGGACTGTAACCAGACAGTAATAAATATGTTAAAACACCAACTGACCATATGTCACTTTGTGGAAAGATAAGATCCTCGTTAACCATTTCAGGTGGTTGGAAATCGAGTACACCACTAGGTAACACTTTGCCACCTAATTTACTAATTTTTTTAGCTGAGCCAAAATCTACCAATTTAATTTGGAGTGCTCTCACTGATGCCATTACAATATTGTCAGGCTGTATATCGAGATGACAGAAACCACGCCAATGTAAATATTGTAAACCATCTAAGATTTGTGTAATAGCACATGAGACCATCTGTTCTGTATATTCATTACGAGTGCTAAAATAAGTAAGAATATTGGCGCCCTGTAACTTTTCCATAACAAATACTGCGATAGGCACATTTTGTGGTTTGTATGCAGCCAGCAGAGCAGCAATACGTTCATGTCGTAAGCTTCTGAAATTTTCAAATTCCGTGTCAATTAGATGCTCAGTTTCATTATTTCTATCAAATATTTTGGCTATAATAACGGCGTCAGTAGATTTTTGTATTCCTTTGACAATAGCACTAAATTCACCACGATTTATTTCTGAAATAAAACTATATTTATCACTAAGTCGAATATCGCTAACCCAATTGGGTGGATCCCGTTCGCATTCGTAGTCCATATGCACGCGTTCTTCTTCGATATCAATTTTTTTACCACTTTCTGTAATGTGTTGCAATTGCAGCATTGCTTTAGATATCTGAATATATGGTGCATCGTTTGTTGCAGTTACAGCATCAATCACGCCACTCATTTCACTCCAGCCAATAACATTTCTAGAAGATAATCTTAACTGATAGTGAGTGTCAGATTTCAAATTTTTTATTAAATAGAATTCATGATTTATGTTATCAGCAATCGTTGTCCATGTGTCACTATTTATTTCCTTGAATTGAAGACTATAACAAAGTACCGAAGAATGGCCATCGTTGCGAGGTTGTTTCCATTTAAGAAGAATCTCACTACCACTAACGCCAGAAATTTCAATTGAGTCTGGGGCATCAGGAAGAGTGGCTGCTACAATACGGCACCTGGCAACAGTTTGACCAATTTTATTTCTAGCAACAGCTTTATAAATTCCAACATCCATATGTACAGCAGGATCGAAACGTAATATAGATCGTCCATCTTCATCGTTAAGGATTTTAATACGTTTGCTTTCTGTGATCACCATGTCGTTTTTAAACCATTGCACACTTGGTTTAGGATCACCAACAGCAAAACAGTGTATATGTGCTGGTTTATTTTCCGAAATAGCCAAGGCTTGTGGTTTTTCTCTGAAAAATGGTGGATAGCCAGTTCGTTTTGCTTCCATAAGAGCATCTGCTTCAGTATATTCATCTAAACGTGGACCTAACTCAGTTCGTAATCTTCTTATTGTATAAGAGTCATTCATTGAGTACATGCTTATACGGCTGCGAGTGCGTTCATCATCAATTTCTTCGTCCATAATATCAGTAAAGCGTCGACGTTCTCGTATAACAGGCAACTATTATATTATTTAAAAAAATAATAACTTTATGTAGCTAACTGTGATAAATACTTACTGACCAATCCACACAATCGTTTATGGCAAAAGAGGGTAGTCTCCTATGAGCGACTTTCATATACTCACGTAAACGAACTGGGAAGCCAACATCACGCAGTTGCAATAAATATGTATCTGGACCATACTGATAACTAAAATGTTATATATTGTTTAATACATTATTTAAATTAAATAACAAATAACTTACTGGCTTTCAGATTGGAATAATCCTAACTCATAATCTGGATGCAAATACTTAGAAACACTTTCTTCATATCTTGTTTTAACTACGCTACTACTTCTTTCAGGTGTTGGTTCTGGAGTATAAATATGGCCTGGAGGATAAACCATTTGTGATGGATGTTCGTAACAAGTGCTTAAACGTCTACGACGGAAGTAGTGTCGGCATGAAGCATTTGCATACCATTTGCCTAATCCGTAATAGTAATTCCTAAGATTATCAGTGCTTATTTGATAATCATCACGAATATGCGTCTTATCCAACATAAAGAACCATGGATGTTTAAGAGCTGTTTTCACGTCCATTCTTTCACTTGAATTATAGACTAGTAGGCTTCGTATGAAATCACGACCTTCTTCCGAAATATGAGTCCATATGGAATCACTGAAATCCCAGAAACCATCTCTTATATTATACAAAGTTTCTCTATCGGTAGCACCCAAAAATGGGTTTCGGCCACTTAATAATATGTAAGTTATAACACCTACAGACCACATATCATGTGAATAGTCAACATATTTTTTATTTACACATTCTGGAGAAACGAATTCTGGTGTTCCGAAATCCAATGTGCCTAAGTTGTGCAAATTAATTCTACGCGCTAAGCCAAAATCTGTTATCTTGAGATTGTTGCTTCCGGGAATTGAAATTAGTAAATCTCTTATCTAAAAAAGTGTGTTACAGTAATAATATCATGATTTAAAAATTCCATAAAAATATTTCATTCAGTAATATTTACCGTAAGTCCCAAATGAGCTACACCCATATCGTGCATATGTTCAAGTCCATATAAAACTTGCCGTATATAACCTGCTATATCACGTTCAGTATAAAAACTTTTTCTTAATAAATTATCTCTTACAAGTTCTCCACCAGCTGCTAGTTCCATTATAATCGTAACAAGTCGATCATGATCGAAAACTTCATGTAGGCGTGTTAAGTTTCTGTGACTTAACATATTCATTATATCGACTTCATTTAGCATGAATGGGCGCAGTTCATGTTTGCCATACATGATTTTTGCAGCATAGTTATCACCAGTGGCACGCTCTACAGCATGATATGTTATGCCCTGTGTACCACGTCCCAACTCATGGCCAATATCATATTTATCTTCATAACGAGTTTGTTTGACTCTAACATATGGTTGTTTTCCATAAGTTTTATAGATGTATTTATCTTCATCATCTTCTACATGAACCATTACGGTTGTGCTTACGGAACCAGCTATGTTTTTAGCGCTAATGGAATAAATGCCCTCATCTCTTAGCATAGAGTCAGTTATACTCAATACATATGTATCTGGTTCAAAATGCATCATCTAAAAAATTTAGAAATAATATTATTGGACTTATTTTATTTTTATTTTAAATGAAAGAATGTACTTTTAGTCTATTATTTTCTGCTAAAGGTTGCCAATCTTTAAACCATTTAATATCAGGTGTTGGTATGCCTGCAACACGAGCTTCTAAGCGTATCATCTTACGATTCATTACAAAGGTCTCATTAGGACGTTTAATAAAGTATGGATGTTCAGCTATTTCTAAGCGTACACGTTGTCGGGCTTCACCATGTTCGTTCGTTGCGACAGCTTCGTACCAACCCACATCTCGATCTAGCATTCTATATTTGAAATTTTTTTAAATATATTTAAATTAGTATAACAAATTAAATTACTTGTTTATGAAGAGTGTTGCTTGTCCATTTCTTGTATAACTCGAGCCAAATCTACCTCCCGATTCTATAGGCTCTTCATGAAAATAGTAGGTCATTTTTGGTTTTGGATAACCATAAACAAACCATGACAGTTCGGTATTATGGCCTTTTACGCCATAACAAATATCATTTTCTCTTCTAATGAACCTATTTATTAATATTATTAAATTCATTAAAAATTAATATAAAACAAATAAATTCATATTTTTACTCTGGAGGATGTGCAAGTTTTCCGTGTGGTGGTCTCTCAATATCAAAATCTTTCGGCAAATAAGGTGACGTATGTGGTCTGAAATCGCTTCCAGATGGCATATAACTGTATATTTTGGGTATATCTGAAAATAATTTATCCCTAAAAAAAGATTATTATTCGATTCCTAATAGTTATTATATTTACTTACTTATATGTTTGCACATAAGGGCTAGGATCACTAACACCATATTGATTTTCTACTCGCACTCTAAACCTATAGTCTTGGAAAGGTTGGAGATTTTTAATATCACAAGAACAAGACCGAATTCCAGTTAAAGCGGTTCGCCATTTACCATCTGGCAAATCCATCATTTCTACCTGTGATGTATTTAACAATTTGAATGGTTCAGAAATAACCTTAAATTCATTTGTACCTGGTAAGTAACCGGAAAACGTGGTGTAGACGATACAGATGGTTTCCAGAAAAGTCGCAAGTCATTATCCGTTAGACGAGAGATAGATGGCTTTTCTGATAACGGCAAAGGTAAGCCTGGCTTTTTTTGCTTATGATCTGCATATTGATCTGCAATAGACCTGGGACCGCGATGCTCGGGTTCTAAATGTAAACGTAAAATTGAATTCTTAAATTATAATGTAAATATTTCAATCAAACAAGTTTTAATCAAAACTATGAAATAGTAATAATAAATAGTTGTATTAGTTTTTTATTACTACCATTATATAAATTATTTTATTGCACTGAAACTCACCTTCAAATATTAAATTAGCATCACATAAATCTTCTCCATGCGCGTTATATATCCGACAAGAATATCTACCTGCATCTGTTTCATCCATATTTTTAATTGCAAGACGTAGTAATCCATTTGGTTGATTTTCAATTAAAATCTTGTCAGACGGTTGCAAAATATGTCCATTTTTGAGCCACTCCACTTCAGGCTCAGGATAACCAGTAGCACATGCTGTAAATTTCGCAGTCATACCTTCATATATATTACAATCAGCAATTTTTTTAAGAAACGCTGGTGGTTCCATACGACTGTGAGTTCTCCTAAATTAAATATTTTGTTAATGATATTATTAAGACAAAACTTTATTTTTATTTTACTTTTCATCTACGACATCTAAGCTACCTTGCGTAACGTCTTTTCCTTCTTTATTAGTAGCAATACATTTATAGATACCATGATCTGGTTTTGCACAATTTTTCACGGTTAAAGTATGGTGATCTCCATCACTTTTGATTACATACTTGTCTCCATCTTTAATTGGTTTGTCCTGGAAGAACCATTCCACTTCTGGTTGAGGTACTCCTGATACTGTAACTGGAATTTTCGCATCGTTATTTAAAACTTGTTCCTGATTACAAATCTTCTGTGTAAAAGCAGGCTTTTTAAAGATTTTGTGTACGTTTGCTTTAAATGTTGCGATATCTTCACCAAGTGGATTCGCAAGCAAACAGGAATAGTCTCCTGTGTCAGCAACTTCAGCAGGACTTATAGTTAAACCGACACTATCTCCATCACAAGTCATTAATGTACGCTCATTAGGTTGTAAGGGTATACCATCTTTTGACCATATGGCTTCTGGTATGGGATTACCCAAAATCGATGCCGATAATACTAATGGTTCACCTTCACTTACATTAACATCACTGATAGATGAAACAAATAGCGGCGCTTCTTCGGCTTTACTTTCATTAGTAATTGGTAGGACAGTCACTACAGCCTTTGATGGTGTACTGCCCTTATCATTTATTGCAACCACTTCATATAAACCACTGTCAGCTTGCGTAGCCTTTTCAATAATCATACTCTGGCTTAAATCAGGATTTTCAATGAAAGCAACTTGCTTATTTTGTGGTAATATTTCTTGACCATTGTGGAACCATTTAAGAGTAGGAGTAGGATTACCCATAGTTTTGACAGTCATTTTTAATGGGAATCCTTCAACTACGTTTGTATTTTGTAATTCCGCAACAAATTGTGGTTCTCTTTCTTGATCACAGACAGTAACTTCACAAGGCGATTCAGCTTCACCCAACTCATTTTGAATTAAACATTTATATAATCCGGCATCTTCAAGTTCAGCCGAATCAATACTAAATTTTTAAAATACGAAATGAATAGTGTATAAGGAGTATTTAAGTATTCAAATAATATATACTGACATTAAACCAATTTGACCATCAGGTTGATTAACAAAGTTGATGTATTCACATGGACGTAACTGCACTCCATCCTTATACCAAATAACTTCAGGAGTAGGAAAACCTAGCACTTGAGCAGACAAAGAAAGTGGTTGTCCAACTACTGCAGCTTGACATTTTTTTATAGGTGAGATGAAAATTGGACTCATAGGGGTAGCTAAAATATATGTTTATGTTTAAGCATAGAATAGCGAAGTATATATATGTTATACAAGTTCAACTAACGTTTTACTGCAACTGCACAGAGAGCAACTTCTGTTCCACAAGGGTTTGATAAAACAAGTTTGTAAGCACCAGAATCGTTTGGTAATGCATGTTCGATTTCTAATTTGAGCTTTCCGGGAACGGATGTGATTTTAATGCTTTAAAGGAGATAAAATATTTATATATGAGTACATGAGTTGAAAAATTTAATATATTGAAATATATGTTCATATACTGTGTGGATTATATTATTAATGTAAATGCTTAGAACTATATGGAATTAAATTTAATAAGTATGAATAATTACTTACTGTTCACCAGGATGTATTTCTTCACCATCTTTAAACCATTGTATAAGTGGGATAGGACTTCCATTGGTTACACATTCCAATACCAAAGGCTCGCCTTGTGACACTTCCATTATTTCGTCGAATTTCTTTAGAACGCATGGAGGTATGAGTTGTAACGAAAGTTTAAATGGAGCTTCTGTCGTACCAACATCATTTTTAGCTACTGCCATATACTAAGAAAAAATAAACAATTAAATGTGTTTTTTGTTGTTTAGTATAATACTCACTATGCCGGCATCTTCAGATCTAAAATGTGGAATTTCTAATTTACCAGATACTTGGTTATTAGATAGAGCAGCGAATTCTTCTTTGTAAATTTTTTCTTTAGTTGCTTCATTAATAGCAGTAAAATCAATAAATTCATTATCTTTTTTCCATGCAAGTGTTGGCTGTGGAACACCATGTACAAGAACTGATACTGCAATGGGATTAAGCTCAGCAATGGATTGATCCGATGGAGGTGTAATGAAAGATGGTTTGTCAACTGTAAATAATATTGATTATTATTTGTAATATCTATTATTATGAAAACTATCTACCATGCACATTTAAGTTGAATTCTTGTGTTGTAGTACCCAATTCATTAGAAGCAGTCAATGAATATTTTCCAACATCCGATGGTTTGACAGATTGAAACAGAAGTCTATACTTATCGGCATCCACATCGGCAATTACTTCGCAATTTGATTTGTTGCAAAGATTTTCATTACCTTTCGTCCATGTAACTTTAGGCTTTGGATTTGCAATCACTTCAGCATTGAAGCAAACAGTTTCAAACGGAACACATGATGCATCCTTTAAGTTGAGGATTTCTGGTTTGGATTTTATATTTACTACACAATTGGATTCAACTTCACCGTATTTATTTTTTATTATAACTTCATATCGACCAGAATCAGTATGTCGAGCTATTTAAAGTTGATAAAAAAGAAGAATATAATAGTTTAAACAATATTCTATAAACTAATTATAAATGTCTTTACAGGTAGATTAAAAATTTTGTAAATTACAAAACGGATGATAACTAAAAAGTTTATGTAATAGTATAAAAATAATTTCAGGACACGTCAATTAATAAAGAATTTTAGTAAAGATACCTCAATTCTGAACAGATTTTAAAACTAGCGTTTCAATAAAACAGGTAATATATGTTATCTCATGCCAACATAAGGTAACGAAATATCGGATAGACATTTGAGGAAGAGAGCCTAGATTGGCACACATAGTTTGATGATAAGTCAATAGTGACATATTAGATAGATAACATTTTTTTCTTCTTTTAAATAAGCAAAAGGATTGAATTAATTTGTCTAGTATTAATCTAGAGAGACAGAACCAATAAGAAAAAGGAGCACAAATGACGACATAGAAATCGATCTGAAGGAGATATTTAAATAAACTATCGTTTATAGAACTATTATATTATGAATATTAATAATAGTTATGTATATTAATTTAAAAACTTAACTAAGTAAAAGACATAATTTATTCTAAAGTTTATATTATACTTACATTTGGGTAAGACCAAACTGCATGTATATTCTTTTAGTCCATACTCTAATTCTTTGGCTTCTACTTTAAGCAATAGTGCTTCATCTGCTTTAACTATTTTTCCATCTTTAAACCAAATTATTTCTGGTAATGGATCCGCTGTGAACACAACTGTTAAAAGCACTTCTTTATCTTTTATAGTTTCTACATCTTCCAATTTCTTTTTTAATATTGGTTTACGATATTCAGCAACACCTTTAAATTTAAAAAAATATTATTTATTTTTAAAATTAAATTTTTTTTTTTAATTTACCTAATAAAGAAAGCTTTCCTTGATGTATTTGTTCTCCACATTTATTTTTAATAACGACTTTGTAATCGCCTGCATCTTCAAGTTTAAGTTCTTTAATCTCTAATCGATACTTTTCCTAGAATATGAAATTATTTATATATATTTATTTGAAGAATTATTTTAAATTTAAAAATAACTTACACCTTCATTTATAATTGCAATATTACTGTTAGGTTTAATTTCTTTTCCATTATGATACCAGATGGCTTCAGGCTTAGGAATACCTCGAGCAATAATTTCATATTTCAAAGGTAAGGACTCATAGCTCTGCTTTTCAATAATGTCAGCATGTAAAATTTCCGGTATTGCTGTTAAATATGAAAATAAGCTTTGGTAACTTCACATTTTAATAATAATTCATATTATTAAGCAGTTAAAATTGTATATAATATGCACTGCTTTTTATATTTATATAGCATCTGATAAGTAATATCTTCCAAACATATTTTATTGTACAAAACTTTTACAATGCTAAGAACTGATGCATTCTACGAACACAATGTATTAAATAGTAATATTAAATATTATATATGTATATAAATATCTTTTTTAATGTTATATAGAAGAAAGCTATCAACATTCAAAATACTTCGATTTGAATCGATCAATAGTGAACTAATTCAATCTAAATTTAGTTCCATTCAAAAACTATCCATTTTTAATTTTTGTCTTTAAATAATTATGTCGAAAGGAAACTATTTTACTAAACGATTATTTATTTGTTGGTAAACAAATGTAATTATTTTCTATATATTGAAAGTTTTTGCCGTTAAAAGTTGATACTCTACTTAAACTAATATACCTAGATATATATATTTCTTGAAAAGTTGTCTATTTTTAAACTCATATAACGACCAACTTATTTTTAGGAAAGACGTAATCTCTTTCTGAGCTCAAATATTGATCAAAATACCTTTATCTCATCTCAAAACATAGCACAATGATCAGTGGTACATACAGAGATTCATTTAAAGCGGGATTTTTGAAGACTAATTCATTAATTCAAGTTCATATAAAGATATTGAATTAAAAAATATCCAATTTGTCTAATACAAAATTATCGTAAGTTTTAGTTTTTTATATATCCTTAAAAACATAAAGTACTGATAGTTTTATATTAACAAAAAACAAAACGAGAGGTTCAAAACAATGAATCGAGGGTTAAGAAAAATATTGTGGATGAAAATAATGAAGATTACTAAAACTATATCTACGTCATCCTCTTTATTCTATTGTCTATATTACAATGTAGACGACGTAGATATAGTTTTAGTAATATTAATTTGTGTTAGATCGTGATCTTGATGATGACTCTCAAGGATAGTCAAAATATAGAATATAATAAAAAATATTAAACGTTGAATTATTTAACAAAAAGTGACCTATAGCGGAATTGAAAAAATATAAAAATATATAAAAATCATTATAAAAAAACAGGTCGAAAAAAAAATTTAAAATATTTCATAATAATGAAGAATTGTATAGTTCTTAGAGGTTTTATTCAAGAAAGAATGCAGATTACAGAAATAAGTTTGAAAGAAAGTTTTAGAACGTTATTTAATATATTGCATTTTATTTAGAAATAGTATGGAGGATATATATTTAAAAAATAAATTTCCATTGGACTACGTTCATTCTTGAATGATTAAAATAAAATCGCACAAAACGATCCTATATATAACTCCTATATTTAAATAAATTTAAAATTTTTTGTATATCTTCCCTTTATTTGCCTTGATATATAGGTATGTAATTATGAAAGATATTGATTAGTTCTTTTATTTAAAGTAGGCGACAGTTTAGAAAATAGTTAAGGCAAATACAAATACATAATACTATTTAAATTAATTTATCTTAGTAATTTCGCAGTATTATTAGCTTGAGCATACAAATTTTAGCGATCACAGATGCAAAAACTTTTTGAAATTATTTAATTTAAATAAATTTATTTATAGCGAGTAATAGATTTTTATATACTAGAACTGGCAACCTACTACAAATCTAGTGAATAAAATACTTTAAATTTAATATTTGTGCAATATATTACATTGTGCATAATAGCCGACTTGATTTTATATTGTTTTTAATGATATAGGAATATGATATATTAATATATGATATATTGATATATGATATATTGAGATATGATAAATTTATATAGCCGATATATTTAAAGCGTTACTAATATTTATTTTATAGGCACCATAATTGATTTTAATAACTACATATATATTATGTATATCAAAAATTAGTTACCCCCTTGTTCTGGTTGGTGACTATCTGTCACAGTTTGCTCCACTTTTTTAGATTGTGTAAGTGATGAATTGGCTGTGTATATATGTAAGTTGGAGAGGAATATTTAAATATGTAATTATTGTTAAAAAATGATTATTATTTTTATTATAACACATGGATATAATAGGAAATGTATATTAATTTGAAAATCAATTTTCAACATTTAAAGAAATATAAATAACTTACTTAATACAGTAACATCACAGCTACATGATGCCTTGCCTATTGAATTTTCGGCTTTAACTTCAAATTTCCCTGCATGCTGCACTTTACAGATATCCAAGCTGAGACAATATGTTTCAGAACTCCATTGACTTCGTGTAATTTTAATATTAGCATCTGCACTAACATCGACTCCATCTTTAAACCTGTAATATGAAATAATTTTACCATTATTTAACAGTATAAATTTAAATAAAAATATACAGATAAAATTATGCTTTCTCACTAACCATTTTAGTACAGGATCTGGATTACCGGCAACTTCTATCTCTAAAGTTAATGAATCATTTTCATTAATTTCCACATTTTTTAAAGCTTTTCTAAACTTCGGTTTTGCTGGAAGAAAATTATTCATTTTATTAAATAATAAAAAAATTCTTCATGTCATTTATTAAATTGATTTATAGCATATCCTTAACTTCTCATTCAGGCGATTTTGCTCATTATAACCACTAATGAGGATGATTTACCACACAAAAATCTTTCATATAAATGAGCTCATTATTAATAAATAACCTTATTTATGGCAAAAAAAAAAGCCGAATGCAACCCTTAAAAGTCGAATAAATTACCCACAAGGGAAATCACTAAAATTTTAAATATGTGTCATATGTTTTATATGTAAAATGTAAATAAACAACAGCTCAACTATAAACAAAGGCACTGAAGAAGTAAATATTCAATAAAATTTTTGTTTTTATTAATTGAATTTGTAATTGATATATAAAATGTTTATAAATGATATAATATATCAATTATATATTTAATTTTTTTGTGTGATAAAAACGAAACCATTTTAGCTAAAACTTTCTATATATTTTTTACATACTAATTTAAAATGAATTCATACTTACAATGAACAGTGACTTCACAAGTGCTTTCAACTTTTCCATAATCATTCATTATTTTACAACAATATGTGCCTTGCATTGATGGTGTGACAGTGTTCAGAATTAATTTATATTCATCATTAGCTTCAGTCATTCGATAATCTTCACGTTTCGATTCGATTTCTATACCATCAATATACCACTTCGCACTGGGTTTTGGATATGCATCGATGCCAATATTAAGCATTACATTCGTATCACCTTCAGTTACAATAATATTTGTCAATTTTTTTGTTACCTCCGGAGCACATTTGATTAACAAATTTGTATCGCTTGTGATGGAACCATGAGCATTTTCAGCTTTTACCTTATATTTACCAGCATCAACACGAGAGACACCTTTTATTTTCAATGAGTACATATTACCATCCACAGTTTGTATATATTTACTATTATCTATAGTTATTTTGGTTTCTTCTTGATACCAACTTATATCAGGTTCTGGGAATCCATCGATCCTTACACTCATTATAACAGTTTCCTGTTCGCCGTGTATGTATTCTTCCTCAAGAGATTTCACCAATACTGGTTTTGATTGCACTGTACATTTCCAAAACTCTGATGTTTGACTTAAGTCATTTGTTGCTCGTATTGAATAGTTACCAGCTTGAGTCAATTTTATGCTAGAAATTTCTATTAAAATTTCTTCTGTGCTCTTCTCAATAGTTTTTGAATGAATTTTGACATTTTTCTCGATGGAAATATCTTTACCATTGTTTGTTAATTCAATAGTTGGTTTAGGGAAACCTTCAACTTCGATTTTGATTTGAACATTTTCTCCAGCTACACATGTGATATCTTTAATTTTCTTTATTTTTGGAGGAGCTGTGATAATAAAAAACTATTGTAGTAGAATACAAAAAATAAAACTATGAAATGACTTACCGCTAATAACAAGATCAATAGTCGAGTGATCTTCACCTAGTTCATTAACTGCATGTATCGTATACAAGCCTGCATCTTGTGTACCAACATTTTTAATGAGCAGAGACATGGTTTCATCATCCTCATACAAGAATTTGTGACGGTCATCAATTTCGATAAGTTTATCATCATGCTTAAATTGTACTGCCGGCTTGGGAAAACCTTTGCATTGCAACTCAAGAATTGCAGTTCCACCGACGCTTGCATTCGCTTGACGATGTTCTATGACTAATGTTGGTTTTTCTGGTTCTCTATAGAGTGTCTGTACAGCACCCTGAACGGAGAGCTCAGCACTGCACGATATGTTACCAGTAGAAGTTTGGGCAACGCAGGTATAAATACCTGCATCTTCAGGTTTAACATGTTGAAATACAAGTGCTAAGGAATCTTCATCATCTCCAAAGAGTACTTTGAATCGTTCTTCAGGATCAAACTCAACACCATTTCGTTTCCATGTAAAATTCGATTTTTCACCTGCAGGCAAAATTTGACCGCTCAAAGAACCAAATGGATTTTTATCTTCTATAATATGAAAAAACAACAAATTTATTTTTGAAATTATTGTTTTAAAGAAAACAATGAATAAATTATGAAAACAAAACTTGATCGTTATAAAGAAGCAATAAATCAACTACAGAATTTCAAATCTTACCCACTGTTGTTACATTAGCTGTACATTCAGCTTTTCCTAGACTATTGACTGCTTTACAGGTATAAACACCAGCATCGGATTTTAGTACATCGTTAATAACTAATTCATAATAGCCTAAATAATCCTTTTCACGTATAATTTCAACTCTTTTATCTTTTGAATTAATCTCTTTGTCATCCTTATAGCTGTAAATAAAATAATACTTTTAATTATAATTACTTCCTCACAAATTTTAACAATAAGTTTAAAATTATAGTCGCACATGGGCTTCTTTTAAAGACTACTACTTTCGAAGAATCAGAATCAGAAATGGAAAGTAATATAAGTAACAAGATTAAAATAGTTTGAATTAGTCATATATGGGCTTCTTTTGAAGACTACTATTTTTGAATTTATGAATTAGACAAGAAAGACGAAAATGATGGTAAGTCACTGTCTGGCATATGTGATAAGACAGAAGAATATTCAGTAAATATTTCAATTCTTTAATTATTATTACGACATTTAAAAAATCTTTGTCAAGTATTTGTTTGGTCACTAGTGTGCTTTAAAATTTAAAACGACAGCATAATTTAATGAACGTATACGAACTAGTTAAAATCACAAATGGGTTGGAGACTGTCGAATGGAAGGAATTATAAAATATTCTAAGGTCGCAGAATAATTCAAGAAACGGTCATTATATTGAGTTGATTTAAGTGATCGTGGTTGTTGTTATAAGTGATTTCTACTATGTTAAGCTTTCTTCGAAGAAATTTGTATTCAATATATGTTAAGTATCCTTAAAATGGATCCTACTTTATTTTCATACTGACAGAATAGGTTTAATTTTCTAATATACATATATGTACGTTCAGGTTAGGATTTGATTTTGTATTGTTTTAATATTTTTTTGGGAAGTAGAGGAAGTAATTTGAAAGCACCATGATAACATTCTTTAGAGCAATTTGGATAGATTTTATAAAATACATATTTTTAAATAAAATCTCCATAAGATGAAGACTTACATACAATAATATGAACTTACAAAGTTACTTTAGGTTTTGGATCACCATTGATTTTAATCAAAAATCTGAATAGAGAATTTTCTAACATTTCAGCGTCTTTAAGACTGACAACAAAAACTGGTGGTATGTTAGTAGCTTGGTCATCATGCTGTGCACCTAAAAAGACATAAAAGTAATTATAGAATATTAAAAGTGTTTAATGTTGTCATTTGTTACTTTGTTCCACAGCGAGCTGAGCTGAGCACGTTGTAGATTCAGTAGCTGTTTGCGCTTTCGCAGTATAAGTGCCAGAGTCAAGGGCTCTAAAATAGAATTTAAAAAAAAATCAAAACAAAATTTCTATTATGAGTGAGCTTACCTGCAATTTTTTATTTCCAAACGATATGAACTATTCGGTGCCTCCTTTTGCAGGACACGATCAGCCAACTGATCATCAAGCAACTTGTTATCTTTATACCAGACTACAGTTGCTGGTTTCTCCAAATACTGTATCTCGAAATGAGCTGTTTCTCCAGCTAAAGTAAATGTTTTGAATAAAATTATTTTATATAAGATAAATAGTATTTGAAAGATTTTATAAAAATATCATCTTTTCTACATATACTCTTATTTGTGTAAACCAACTTGGATCTCACTGAATTCATAAGCTTTCAGCCAAGAGAATATAGAAGTTAGAAAAAGCCAATGAAATCAATGAGCATAATGCTTGTGTATTTTTTCTTTCTTTGGTACAATATAAGTTTCATTTTTTAGTTATTATGATAAAAATCTTAAACTTACGTTGGACTTGAATGCTTTTTAACATTTTTACAATTTCTGGTTTCTTAATCGAACGCGATTCCTTTGGTACACCATCGCCATCCGATCTTCGACCGGACCTCTTTAGTTTAGAATCTCCCATATCTGATGCTGATACTAAACTGCTTATACTTTCACCTATTTCGTTTTATTGCAGTAAGGATTTTATAATAAAAAAAATTAATTAATTAATAATTCAGAATTAATTCTTCTTGGTTATTTTGCACTAATATGGTATATGCTTATACAATATATACAAAGGGGAACTATAATGAACATTTAAAAAATGTTAGTTAAATTAACAAAACGTGTTAACATAAAGACTGTAACTTTTTTTTATATAGTATATATATTTACTATGTAAAAAAATCACACAAGGATTGTAAACAATCATGCTATAAATATAACAGTCTATAGTTTCAAAGCGAGGACTTAGATCTGTAACTACTATAATTGTATTTATGTACAAAGGAGTATATTTTTTAAATATGTATTATTTATTCTGATAGTATGCAATTGTTGTATGTAAGATTTGTTTCAGTGTTACATATGCATGAAGTTTGGTATTTCAGAGTATATATATACACGGTACAATAACAGTTTATTAAAAATATGAAATTATTGGTGTTTGAGGAATATTAACTAGTAAACTATATTTCTTTTTAAATATAACTTACAAAAATACTTACTGTTAGAATATGCTGATAATTTTTATACTACACATGTGTATGAACAATTTCGTTTTTAATAGTTTATAAATACTTCTAGAAAGCATTTGTTTTTCTAATATGAATTTATAAAAATAGTTTGAAAAATCATATAACACATTATTGCTTTATTTATATAATAGCTAATGATAAAAAAATATGATATGTGATTAAAGATTAATAGTAGTATAATAATATGTAATATTATATAAAAGTAATATATATGGTTTAGTTATGTATTTATTATTGTTATTGTTTTAGGAATATATAAACTTTCTTGTGCTTGTTAGATTTCCTTTTTTTACGAAGAATTGTGATTACCACTTGTTTATCAAACAAGTGTTCCAAATACCTAAACAAAGTTTGTCCATCTATAAAATTTAGTACATAATTTGCTTTATCTTAACCCATGCTTTTAAAATCGTTATAAGTATTTATAAATTCTTTTATTAATATCTATCGATGAGGGAATGACACTGTCGAGTTTATAAATGGGAAGTCAGAAGAATAGAAAGAGGAAGAGAAGAGAGAAGAGAAGAGAATTTAAATCATTTGCTCTGCCACTGTTCAGCAGTCGCCAGAAGATATCAATCCGCCCTTAACATCAATACGTCTGCCTTTAAATAATTGTCCGACATCACCATTATAGGCATATCATATACTGTTCCACAAATTTCTTTAAAACAGGTAGGGTGTCTTTAAACTATGGACCTACATCTCTTGAAGAACGAGCATCCATTACTAGCTACCATCTTATATGAATTCCACCGCTTATAACGACAAATAAGTTTATATTGTTGCTTCATATTGTGCCTAGCAAATCTCTTTTCATAAGTTATTAGTTGGAAGAAGGACTCTTACTACTTACTTATCTTGAACTTCTTGATCTAATAAAGAGCTGTTTATTTTATGGTTCTGATTTGGCGGTACTGTTTTATATGTTAAATATATAACATATGACATATGTTAAAAAGAACTGCCATCCAAGACATTATATATTTAATTAAGAGTTTACCACTTTATAATATAAATCGTTAAACAATTGTTGAACGTATAAATTTGTGATAACAGTGACGGATCTTTACTTTAAATATTTTTTAATGATAAGTCTCATTTCTCGTCAAATGGAATTGTCAATAAGTAAAATAGTCGCATCGGAGGCTAGAAAGACTATTGCATCCGCAAAAAATTAGAGAATGGTGTCGCATTTCATCTCGATGTTTGAGAAATCAAAACTTTTTTGAAAATGAACAATTATACGTTTAACTATAGTATACGTTTTTAATTTTATATATTTTTCTCCCAATAATTCTTTTGCAATACAAATTAAGCCATAAGATAATGTACGATATCTGAGAATGGAATTTGTGTTGTATAATTTTGTAATAGTATTGGAGGTTTTTTGTTTTGTATTGGTTTTAAAGTGCATTCAGCTTAAAAAAATAGAAAAGCTGGTTGGTTGTAGTTATTGGAAGTTAGTGTTTCATAAGCTTTATTGACAGTTTTGCATAGAATGTATTTGTTTCACTATTTTCTGCTGGGTTCCATATTTTGCTTCGTTGTTGTCTCCATCACATATTTTTTAATTCTTAATATCAATAATATGTGCTCAAAGCGAAGAGATCTTTGCTTGTAAGAAAGTCCAGGTGATATAATTTTTTACATTTATTTACATATAATATGCATTTTATAAAAATATAGCTCAATGGTATCAGGTGGTTATTCTACTAAAATTTAGAAAAACTAATGATTATCTCAGAACTAACTTACGTGAGTTATTGAGTTATCAGTGATATATCATAAATCACAATAAAAATAAATTTGTCTTCAAAAATTGAAAGCAAAAAGCTTGAAAATTAATACATGACAAATGCAGAAATTAGAATCGACATACCATATAAAGGGAGTTACTATCTTATGTGATAGTTTTGAATGGCCGTGACTGTGTCTGGTCTTTTATCGTTGGTAAATTTTTGATCGTGACAGGAAAAATGTTTTAGCAGGGCTATCTTAACATTGCGATGTGAGATTTTAACAAAACTCAGTACTATCATACAAAAAAGGCCAATCAATGATGGTTAAGAGACAATGTTTTACACTTCATTTCAATGACTTACTGTCCTCTAATGTCAAATTCTTAATATGAGGTATAATGTAGGTCAAGGTCAGCAAACAAAAACACTAAACTTTTTATGTGTTAAAGTCATTCATCTTCGTGAATGACTGATTTCGACAATTTAACATTTGTGCAGAATGCGGCTTGTTTATCCATCAATTCAGAGTTATAATAAAAGTGATCGTATCAAAAAGAATCCATAAAATTTAAGAGAATAGTCGTGTCTCTGAAGAAATATGTAAAAAGCTAATACCAAACGATCGTAAAAGTTGGTTGAAATCGTTAAAATAACGATTTCACGATAAATGTGACGAAACTTAGCAATGCTATGTTGTACCGGAGATCTACAAATCAATAATACGATTGCTAGATAGAGGTTGCATACGTTATCATGTCACATCATATTTTTAATCGTGTAACAGCTAGTGTTTAATATAATTGTGTAGCTGTGATATATATTTCTCAAATGCACTCATTTATAATTGAGGTGTTATCCAAAAGAAGTAACCAAAACAAGGCTAATCCTAATAAATAAACAGTGTGTTTGTTTCCTTAGGCAAATGCAATATTAAAACATAAGACCACACATAATTGTTTTCGGATAAATGTTATTTAAAAAACAAAACAAACAAGCCACACATATATGACAAACATATTCTTACAAAGAGACACTCGAAACACGCTAGCCTTGCTGAAAACATTGATAAAGATTTTGGGTATTAGAACTCACATCTAGAGACTCTTAAACTATTTGATTGGTTGTACTCAAAATTTTCTTTATCTTCATCACAAATCTCTTCAACAATATCATAAACGGGTGGTTTACGTTTTTGCGGTGGCGTATAAATATGTAGAAAATCACGATCCTTAGCTTTTTGAACCGTATCTTGTGTATATTTAGTTGTATCTGCTACATTATGAACGGTACTCTTAAGTGAACGTATTTTATTTTTTGCTGTACGTACTGAGGTATCAAAACTTTCATCATATGTATAAATACCGGCAAGAAAATTAGCTGTTTTCTGCTCCAGACCTTGATTGCGTACTACTACGCGCTTGATGGTGGGAGGTGGAGGTTGTGAACTGGGCGGTCTAGGATAAGTTTTGAGTACTAATATATCCATAGAAAATTCATACGATATTGGTGGTAATGGTTGAAAGAATCCAGGCATGCGTACAGAATTTGGTGGTATGGGTGGAGGTGGTGTTTCGAAATGATCGAATGGATTATTTGCTTGTCTATTAGCAACTCTTGTTAATGTATTATACCATTGTTGCAAGGAAGTACTGTCTGTGATGTTTACTACTGTCTGATCTTTCTTTTCATTAGTATTTTCGCCAGCAGTTTCTATGCAATTGGTGTTAATTTCTTGTATTTGATTATTGTTAATAGTATCGGTATTTTTACATATGTTAAGAGAACTGTCTGCGAGTTTTTCATTGCAAAGCACTAATTCTACATTGGTTTTATTTACTTCGTTTGGTGATTCAATTACTTTATATTGGATATCTTCATTATGGTTATTAGATTCACATATTTCTTTATAAAAGTTATCTTTAGAAAGTACATCACCTTCATTAGATATACACTCCGTTTTAGTCATGTTAGTAGTTTCCATATTTGAAATACACTCCGTTTTTGTTATATTAGCAGTTTCCACGTTTATCTCATTATGTGAAGTATTTTCAGTACTTTCTCCGATATTATTAACTTCTTTTTTAGAAGTTGCGCTCTCTTCGGGTTTCTCTTCGCCATTCTGGTCAGAAATCTTAATCCTTTTGCAAGGCTGGGTATCTTCTTGAATTATATCTATTTTATTTTCGTGTTTAGTATTAACTTCGATATTTTGTGTACTAATGATTTCTTCTTGTTTTTGCATACTGACTTCTTCTTTCTTTTGAATACTGATTTCTTCTTTTTTTTGACTGATTTCTGTTATTATTTCACTGCTTGTTGTCAAAGTAGAACAAATTTCACTTTTAATTGATATATTTTTGTTATCAATTATTTGAATGTCGTCAATTTTCTTTTCCTCGGAGTTCATTTTTAAGGTGTTTTCGTTGTCGTTTATGGTGATTGTCGTTGCGGGAATTGCAACTGCACTTATATTTTTCGATGATTGTATATTTGGTGAATTCGAAACTATTTGATACTTTTCCTTATTAAAGATATACTGTTGATCTTTTTTAATATCATCCGTATTATGTTCCACAAAAGTTAGTTCGTCATTACTGTGTGAACATATTTCCTGATACCAAAGAATGTGATTATCTGGCTTGTGAGCTATTAGTTTAATCGGTAATGCGGTATTATTCTTTCCGTCTTTATTTAAGATTTGTATAGCATTATTAATTGATTGTACATCACAATCAGGCAATCTTACAATATCGTCTAAGATGTATATTTGCTGTTCATCACTTATTAATTGAGTAGTGCAAATTAAAATTCGTGATTTAAATAAAAATAAATATCGTTCGACTGATTTATTTTCCTTGTCTACCACAGACCACGTATCGTGCGATAAAAGACGCCCAATTTTACGAATATCACCCTTATAACCCTCAATATTTGTTAGATATATGTTATCATAAGCTTTGCTAGGAATACTAAGCATTAATTCTAAAGCCTTTTGTAAATCTTTTACGTTTTCATTTAAAATCAACGAGTATTTAAGTAATTCCTGAAAAATATATATCCATAACTTTATTTGTAGGACTTTATTTATAAAATTGATAATAAAATATATTTTTATTGTAGATATTTGTTCGAAAATTTAAATGTACAATATATTATTTGGTAATGTTTAGATATGTATAAGTGATATATATGATAGAAGTCTCAAAATTACTACGCATAAAGTATAGCGTGAATTCGTAGAAACAGAGTACTTGTACATATATATATATATAAAATAAAATCAAAGCTATACGTATATGATTAAATTAAAAAAGAAACAAAAAAAATATTGTTTTACAATCAAAACTGAAGTAATATAATTATATATAATATAATTATAACGCAATTAACAGAAAATATTTTGTATTTGAGCACATCTATATATGCAACAGAACATGTTTTTGAACATTAAATGGATATGAAAATGGATACAAATAGAGTATCGCAAAAACTGTCAAAAGAGTGCCTGGCGATTCCAGTGCGATCAGTATTGGTAAAAGGTGGATCGGTCTGCACTTAACTATGTTATGGTTTTCAAACATTTTAAAAAAGCTAAGATAATTGCATACGGTTGTCAGTTTCACTTTTAAGGATATGGTACTGTTATAGTTTTATTTAATTTAATATTAATTAAAAAAATTTTATTGATTAAATAACAAACCTTTAAGATAAGCTGATAGTCATTAATTCTCTGGATAGGAAGTTTAAGGTGTTCTGATAAATTTTTATCGTCGCCAAATTTACGCGATATTTCCTAAAAAAGTAAAAAATAAATAAAATAAGTAAAAAAAATATTTGATTCTTTTATTTGTGACCAAAAATATTATATAATAGTTTATTAGCGGGCTAATTGGTTATTTAAATAGAAATAAAAAACTATAATTTATATTTATTTTTAAAAACAAATTATATTTTATTAAAATAATTTCCTATATTTTAACTATTTTCGACGAAGATGACTATTGAAGATAAAGATGAATATAGTAGATAGTCAAAATATCGGAAAAATATTTTAATAAAATACAATTTGTTTTTAAATATAAGTAATAAATTATTTTTTTTTTTTTATTTAAATGACCAATTAGCCTGCTAATAAATTATTAGATAATAATTTAAAATAAAAATACGTATAGAATTAATTTAAATTAACAAATTAAATTTTATGTTTTACAAATTATTATAAATATATGTATATATAATTTATAGACCTGTGGTTTAAAATAAAACCGATTATGTACTGTGAAGAATGAACTCGCAAAACATTAATCAAGGAAAAATGATGACTAATAAGAACATTAAAATTAAAATAATGCTAAGTTTATAATTTTATCATTTTTGTTACATATAAAAATTTACAATACATAAAAGGGTTGTTCGAAAACGTTGGCCTCAATATTTTATATAATGTTAATTTTCTATATTATTGGTTTTTTATTCTTTAACGCAATTTTTATCGAACTTGGATACACTTAAAGCGAAACTCCGTTTTTATTTATTCATATAATTAATGGTATACTGGTAAGTTTTATAAATTCCAAAATTTTTACTCCCTGATTCCAATGTACAGATTTGGATAGTCATTAAAATTAAAACAAAATACTGTTCTTCAATTTTAGCCATGGCGACTGACAAAATGTAAACTGGTGTATTGTAAATAGATGCATCTTTCGGTAATTACGACAAATAATTTATTTTATAACATTAGTATAGTGTGCCGACAAATTGTGGATTCCTTTCAAAGTACCCAATCTGCAAAATGCTGTAGTCACCCTAAACAACAGTGCATAGGTTACAACAAAGTATTTGTGTTTTTAGAAAATGTTTCTTCTTTTTTAATTCAGTTTTATTCATATTAGTTGCTAGAACCATTAAAGTCAGCCACAAACCTTTTCACTGTTACCCATACATATGGAACTGCAGAGTCTTCATAAAATTTAGTAATGAGTAAATCGTATTGATTTTTGATAATGAAAATTATAACAATTTATCACTTTATCGACTTATTTTATTTACTAAATCATATTATCACAATAAATTCTATACTATGATCCTTGTACCAAAGTATGGAGTTAATAATAATAAATATGGAGTTATGAAGCCAGATCAAGTTTGAAGCTATGGAAAAAATCTAATGGCAATGATTGAGTTTTGAAAATTCTATTTGCATTTTTTAGTACTCCAGTTATTTAATGAAAATTAAATATATAAACTATTAATTTTGTTCCAAATGTTTACGTTATTTAATTATATCCGAATATTTCGAACAATTTTTAAGGAATGTGATTAACATTGGCGTATGTGAAACTAGCTTACGTTTATGAGACAAAATTATATTATTGTAAATTTAAAACCACCGAATGAAATAATATGATATGATACAACATTTTAAGATGTTTAAGGTGATTTAAATACCTTGGTGTGCGCACTCTATTGAAGCGGAGAATGGAGAATGGAGAATAGATCCTAAGTACAAAATGTGCAAGTAAGCTTCTATAAGTTGAAAAAAACCTTAAGCTCAAAAACTGTATACCTAGGAAGAACAAGATGATAATAAATAGGGCAGTATTGCAACCGGTGGCTATAAATACGAGTGAAATATGGCAAATGATGAAAAAAGAGGCATGTATAAAGAATTTATAAAGCGCTATTATTATGAGCTAAACCAAAACATAGAAGATAAAAAAAATAACACAGCTAAGGAAGATAAAAAAATTACTATGACTAAGGAACATTACCAGAATGCCTATCGAAAGAAAACAGCAGTAGCTACTCAAATATGAAATCCTAACAACACGCAAAATAGCATGCCAAAAAAAAAAGATGGATCGTCAAAGCTAAAAATGACGAGAGTCATTTTCATAATCAATTAGAGTTAAAGTATTATGAGTAAAGAACGACTGAAAACAATAGAGGTCTGTCCAGGCATATCCTTCAGCAAGTCTAGTTGCTTAAGGACTGTGAAGCCGTGGAGGAGAAAGAATAAGGTATAAAAATAAATGAATACCAAGTATTTTTTACAAGCATTATTTTAAATTATTTCTACATAAACTGTAAGAGTATAAATGTTTTCATATAATATTAATTTCTATAAATTTTTTGGTAGAGATATTTTAATGAATCAGGCTATATATTTTCGATTTGGGTCATATATAGTAACCCGTAAGTAATTTAGTTTTTTATTAAACCGTTAAAATGTTTATTTTTTCTAAAAACTTCCCTAAATTTCTTCAATTTCAGGATTAAATAAACTGAAAGTTGACTGTAAGAATATGAAATATTAAATGAATATTGCTTATAAAAGAAATTGTGACAAGTACAACATTTTTATTAACATGTAGTCGAAATGAAAAGATAAATTCTTATTGCAATAATAAACAATGTGTGCTTTTAAATTTACACAATATCGAATATTAATTAAAAAAAATTAACATTAAATATAAAAAAATAAAATTTATAATATCAAAAATATTTATTATATTTTCAATAAGTTTTTACATAAATAAAATTTTGACCGACGGCAAACACAATTGATCTATTTATAGTTCAAACACTTCAACATATTTTCAACAGGTGCTTTAGTGAACTATATACATAAATACATCCACCTGTTAGACGTTCCCGAGGCATGTAAATTTTTGTTTATATTTGTCTTTATTGACATTTATTAAACACAATATTGTAACTTTGTAATTTTGAATTATTAAAACTCTATAGCTATATATATATATATGTAATTAGAATATAATATGTATATTTTATATGATAGCATATTTCTTACTCATAGAACAAATATTCATATATCATATTCTTTTAACAATTTCCACTGTTCTAATTAAACATCTTTTAAAATACTTTTTATACACCAAATGAACAAAACCATCGTAGCTTTTATGAATGACAAAAGGTCATTTATTTTCCACAATACAAAAATAATATAAATCGAAAATTATTACTCGTACTAAGTTTTGTCTATAAAACATTATAAATTGCGAATAGTAAACACCGGGGTCTACTATAATGTATGATTGTCTAATTTCCAGTTTTAAAATCCTTTAGTTCAATGGACATTGCTTTTATAAAATATTTCACTGAGGTATTTTTTTTTTATTTTTATTTTTTTATTTGTGCAAAATATATTTATACATTTTTTTTATATATAATTATGTGTTTTCTCGTTGGTGTCTGTGATAAAAAATGATATATGCTAGAATCTCTGAACCACAGACGTTTTGAAAAATTAAAATAAGAAAAATATCAATATTAAAATAACAAATTTTAAAAAGCACAGAAAATAAATTACTAAAAAAAATTATTTTTTTATAAATTGTATATTATAAGTGTGTATATAGATCATCGTACAGAGATTTAATCATTGAAATATTATTTTAAATTGTTTATAATTGAACAACACATGATGGTATGTGGTAGGTCTGAGTTTTTTTTAATTTCTTATTTAAATATTATGTGTATTTTTTTTTTCAAAGCAATAAATGAAGAAAAGCTTTCAGTCCCACGCATAGAATACGATATATTTTTAATTTTTTTTTATATTATATAAAAATTTAATCTTATAACCTGTTAGTAATTGATTTCAGTTAACAGTTTAACAGGTTTAAAAAAACGTATTTATGATCGGTTATCAATTATTATTGCTTTATATATATTTCACATATTTTATATTAGCTTGAGATATATATATAATACATAGCATGTACATATATAATATATATATACTTTATATACGTACATAATATATATATATAATTTATATATATATATACATATATGTAATACATATATACATAATATATTACATTCCTTTAATTGCTTTATGTTCTATATTACATATAAATAGGTATATATTAAATACGAACTTATTATAAATAAATAAGCTATAAGCTATTTTATATTACACAATTCTCAGTATTAGCACGACGCGTTCGGTAGAAAATCTCAAAAATAACTAAAATATAAGCATCAGCGAAAGCTCTAGATTCGGTCAATATCTAAATATAAATGTTTATAGTTTATACCAACTATATATTCGGCACATGAATGTGTTGAGTTTTGGAAGTTCTAAAATTAATAATATAGTACAAAATTTAAATATGTACTATGAGAAAGAATATATGGTTCATTATTAAGTCCAATGCATGAGCAGTGTTACATTATTTATTTACTTAATTGATTCATTGTAAAAATATTGAAAATAAATTGTATTAATTTTGCAAAAAAAGAATAGCAAATTAATGAATTAAAAAAATATTTAGTTGACATTGATTTATATTATTTTAAAATTGTGCAATAAGTGAGTATATGTGTAAAGACCATCACACATCCATCTAAAATTTTTATCTGCAAGAACTTTATTAAAAAAAAAACTTTTCCAAAATGGCGACCTTGTGACGTGAAAAATGCATGTTTTTGCCTACGCACTTTAGTTTATACAAACATAAAATCAAATTATTTGATCTATGGTTAATGTTGTTTAAAATTAAATTCTAAAAATACATACATATATAAAAGCATTCCTCACTGTTTTGTGTATATTACATATGGAATTTATTTTATTTGAACTCATTGTATAAATTATTTCTTTAAATGCATTTTAAAAATGTCTAAATGTACTTTTTTTTAAAATTTATATTTAATTTTAATTATATAAGACCAATACTAATTGTCAAAAGTCTAAAAAAATGTAAATTAAGTCTATAAATATATATGTGTGTACATATTCTATATGAATAATAGAGTCCCTTTACTTTAAAAGCTGTTCGAATTATCTGGCAGTGCACCTAATAATAGGTTATGCAGTTGAAATAAGTGGAGAGTGACGAGAGCCTTGACCTTAATTAACATAAAAATTGTGCTGACCTTAAACTATTTGAAAAATAAAAAAATCTTTTTTATGTATTTATTTTCGATATTGTGTTTACGTTAAGAATACTCTCAAATGGTATGCACTTATTTATTGATTAAAGTACTAATTATATTTACGTATAATATATACATAATCCTATACACACACATAAATAAATATGTATTTACAAATATATATAAAATAATAAGTGTAAGTCTACTACTGAAAATACTGATAATTCATATAAATTTTAAACAAATAAATTATTGCAAACATATTTTTACAATTAATATTTTTTTTAAATATGAATTTTAACAATCCCATTCTTGGTTTTTATTAATATAAATCTAAAACTTCTTTTAACTCGTTGTGCGAGTTCTAAGTCCTAAATTCGGGGGAAGAAAGAGATGAAGAAGAGAATAATAATTTTAAACAAATAAATTGTTACAAACATTTCATTAAGATATTAATTAATTTTTTTAAGAAAGAAAGGACAAACAAAAATTTTATTTTAATTTTATTAAAATTTGGCTGACGATTCGAAACCCAGTTTCGAGTATTAGCAAGTACTCTTCATCAGTGGTCTTAGGAAATAATCGAATTTTATTTAATTAGTTTATAGTCCGTATATAATTTATTTGGACTGCAAGTGCCAGGCTTAGAACTCGTGTCTGTCAAATTAGAAGCGAAGACTAATCGTGTTTATCAAGTAGCCAAGGTTGCACAAACTTTCAATGCTCAAGTTCCAGGTTTTGTTGTCACTTATTTTTATTTTAATTAGTGACACCATGCTTTGCTTGCCGTGCTTTAAATTAGAACGAGCGTATAAACTACAGCTTTATTTGGAAACACAAGTTCAACGAATTTTAAATATTAAAGTAACTATTTTTTACAATTGCATTCTTGGTATTTATTAATTTGATTCTAAAACTTGTATCTCGTTGTGCGACTCGTAAATTTAAAATTCTGTGAGAAAAGTGGTTGAGAAAATGATAATTTGAAACAAATAAATTGTTACAAAATTTTCTTTAAAACATTTAATTATTTTCTATATCATTTATTCTTACAATTACATTCGCATAAGTTTTAAATTCCGAAGAAAGAAGCGGTGTAGAGAAGTACGATTTCCAAGATACACATTTAAACCACCACGTTTACTTGTAATGACGTTTGTAATGATGATGAAAACTAAAATTTGCATAAGAAATGTCGACAATCTTAAGTTAGTAAAATTGAACACTATTTATTAAAAAGATGATTTTATTATTTTTTACATACTTTTGTATGGATTTTATATGAAAAATTCCATTAAGCAAAACTACTATTATAAAAAAATTGTTTATCTATTTCAAAACTATCAAAATCTTAAAAAGTAGAAGGAAGAAACGATCGTTTTCTCTTAAAAAAAACTGTGTTAAAAACTATATAATGCTTTTTCACCCCTTTTCTTTGGATATTTTAAGCAAGTTAGCAATACATATTTTTTTATTTATATCAGAAACATAAAGTTGTTACATATAGTATCCATTCTCCTTCACCAAATCAAAATCGAGATTCTCATAAAAATTTACATGTTTGATTTGCCATAGTTTATATATAATGTATGTATATATATATAATCTCGACTATTTGTCTATATTCCAATTTTTTTATGATGGATATAGCAAATATTATGGGATAAGAATTTCACGTTAAAATTTATAATTCCACCGACTATTGAGGAATCAAAATCTAAATTTGAAACTATTTGAACCACTATTACTTGATATCCTATACAGAGGTTAGTTGTTTTTAAAAATTAAAGTATAGAAAATATCCAAACACGGTTGAAAAGATTTTTTTGTTATCATATAGTATTACTTAACTATTTACTATTCAAACTACCAACATTTAACCCATTTTTATCTATAAATACTGATGTCTGCCTATTACAATATTAGCCTAGAATATGTACATTACATCTGAATTTTGATATCTGAAATCATTGTAAAGTCTATATAACATATACCTGTTAAATTGTTAGTTAACTATTACTAGTGTTAGTTTAGAAACGTTTAATAAGATCTAATTTCCATATATCAAATTCTTTGCTGAAAAATTTGTCAATGAGATCAATTAATATGATTATTTGATATCGACATATGCACTAAAAATATTTGTTTTAATAAATATTAAAACAAATATTATTATTATTTTTTTAACAATAAAAAATATTGAGGTTTTTTTTTGATTTATTTATATGAGTTTAGTTATATGAGATTTCACCTTTTTCCTTATAAAATACGTATATATGTATATATATGGTATACATATCATAGATTGTCCCTAATTATATATTTGATGTTTATTTTAAAAATATTTAATATAATATTAATATTGATATTTAACAATACCTATTATTTATTTTTACAATAAATAATGATGCATCACATCCATTTTAAAGATTTCATTGAAAATATATTGTTGATTTAATTAAACAATTAACTAAAATTTACGATATATAATTTTTACCCATTTACGAGTTTACCAATTTTTACGAACTTATAATAACTATATAAGTCATTAATTTATACGCATAGATAACAATGTTAACACTTAAAAACTATCAGTAACTTTAAGTATTTTATATAATTTATATTTATTTATTATTGAAAATAAGTTTTACAAAGTGTTATATTACTCACCTTAAAGTGATCTGCAACTTCCGAATTAGAGCTCAAAAAATTTTGAGCATCAACTTCAGCTCTGTAATAATTAACATGTTTGTCAAAATCTCTCTCTAATCTCAAAAAAGTTTTTGCTATAACTGCAGGCTGATCTGCACAATATTTTAATCCCTCTATTAATACTCTGAAATTATATAAAATTATATATTGAAAAATTTATATATGTATGTAGTAATGAAATATATTACTTATTGTGAAATTCGCAAATTTCTTGTAAATTGCTGAATATTAAATTTTTGTTATCCCGTAATATTTTTGGTGCCTTCAATTTATCTATTGTTTTTATGTAGCGATCTACAACAACTTGCAGATCTCTTCCAAACTCTTCTTCGGTTTCAACAAGCTCACAAACTGTTGCTCTATGAAATTAAAAATAAGATTTTCATTTAATAAATATAATGAGTCGATAATTACTGCCTCTGATAGTATGTTTCAGTATTTGTGATAGCACCAGAATTTGGAGTAGTATTTAAATCCAATATTTTAATAGGTATCCAACCCTCTTTAGAAATTATTTTATTTCCAATTGTACGCACATACCATCTACAAAATGTATTATTTCTTTCAATTTTTTAAATTATTTTTAATAATTTTTTTAATATAATTACTTTGTATTTGGGTTTTCTTTCGGTATTGCTTTGATCCTATAAATATTGATAAAATTTGTTTATATGTATTGTTAATGAGCATATTCAATGCCTACCTATCAGGTTCCAAGGATCCATTAGTATTTGTTTTGATTATTTCAACGACTTCACCGCGTGTAAAATTCTTACCAGACTCGATGTTATAGTCTTGATTTATCTTGAATATACTTGAGCCCTAAAAAATAAATTTATGCATAGAGAAATGTTTATTATAATAAATTAAGTATTGATTACTATATAAGAACAGTGAAATCATAAAAATGAAAGCAGTTAGCATCATTGTATTTAATTACTTAAACAATGCTACATTTTTTAAACACACATTTTTGTTAGTGTATTGATAGTTAGTGTTAGTCTAATTGAATAGTTAGTTGGTTCTATAACACTCGATTCATATACAACTGTAGCAAAAACCCTTGATTGAATGCCGTAAAACTCTCAACAAGATAACTTAATCTGGACGGCCATTTAAATCCGTCCAAACAAGAAATTGGTGACGACATTTCTTGATTTATAAGACAATTTTTTAATCTAAATATAATAAAACGAACGATTTGTGTAAGTTTTCAAGCAAATTATAGTTTTGAAAAAGAATAGTTGGCATATACATATTTATATTTATTTGATTCCTAACTGGCACTGTTTAAGTAATACATTCTGTCAGATTGGTGTTTAAATCTAAAAAGGCTATGCTTAGATATAAGAATAGAGCATTATGAAAAAAAATTGTTTTTGCATCATGATATAGAATATCACTGTTTTTTTAAACCATTCATTCAGTTATTGACATACATAGATTGAAGAAATTGAATGGTGTAGCAGGGAGTAAATGGTTCATTGGGATTATACTACAATATAGCTGGGTGTGTAAGTTTAATGGGATCGGAATCTAAAATTAAAATTATCAAGTACTAATTTATTTAACTATGTAGTAGTTATAAAATTCAAAATTATGAAATATTTTTTAATGCGCTTTTTTATTTAAATGTTCTTTTCAATAGAAAAACCTTTACTTAAGATGAAAAACTAAGCAGGCTACACTTTTATTCCAATGTAATTAATATTTTAAATGAAAAATGACAATCATTAAAATAAAGGGATATTGTCAAACTTTACAATGGATTAATCTATATCAATGGATAATAATCTTTTAGAATTCTGTCATTAAGAAACTATATAAAATAATTCTTATTTATTTATATTTATTCTTATTTTAATTTTTTTTTTGTTAATTAAATAGAATTTAAAATCACCATGATATTTAATTTGTAGATATTTTTAAATTTTATACACCACAATTCACCTTTCAATGTTTTGCAATTTTTGGCGGATATTATTTTTCTTCATTATTTTGTATAAACATGCGAATACAATATTATATTTAAGTAATTACATCTAACACGGAAATAATAAAATAGGTGTTTAAATGATTAAAATATAAATAAATAACAGTTATCGGTGAATACAGAAGGTATTACAGATAGAAAATTTAATTTGATACATAATTTCTTAGATTAAATTACATGAAAAATAAATATTAGATTAAAGCAAAAGGGAATCTGTACATTTTTTACAATTGAGATGAAATTAATATAATTTTTGAAGTATAAATAATATAATCGCATTATAATCGCAATTAATTTCAAATCAGTACATCCATGTATTTTATTTTTACATAAAATCCATACAAAAAATTAGTGCAATCTTGCACTAAATTCAGTAATTGTAAGTTTATGCGCAGTAAATAATTAATATAGAGCAACAGATTTAAATAAAAAAATCAGTAAAGTAGTATAAATGGAAGGGAATAAATGCTTTAAAACTTTTGAAGATTGTTTCAAATGCACATTTTAAATTTTTTATTAATGCAGATATAAAAAAGAAATTATATATAAATAAATACGAAAATATTTATTTTTTTTTTAAAGTAAGAATATTGACAAAAATGTAATGCTTTACAACATAAATGGTATAATATTAATTCTTCTCGATATTAAAAATTATTAAAAATAGTTTTTACATCATTTAAAATTATATTTATTTTAAAGCAAATAAACATGATAATATTATAGATATAGATAAGAAATATTCGATTTTTTAAAAAATTAATTTCAAAAATATATAAAACAAACATGGAAATATAATTTATAAATATGTGTGAACACACACATCTTAACATATATATTAAGATTATGAATCAACAACAAATGTGCTGTGAATGTTTACGTTCTTATTTTGGAACTTAGCCACTTCATCACCTGTATTAATTTTTTTTTATTATTTCCTTTTCTAAATTTAAAAATAATAAAACAAAAACTAAAATTTAAAAATAAAATTGAAAGAGGAATAGTTTCTATATAAATTTTGGTGTTATAAGATTTTGAGACAAGGGGTTGTAAACAAAATTTTAATTAGAAAATTAATTAATATTTATTATTTTGATTAAACGCAAACAACTACGAATAGCGACACAGATAAGTGAAATAATTGTGTTTTATTAGTTTTATGTGTTCTTTTTTTTTAAATTCCCGTGGTGGAATTTGATTTCAATTTTGGCAAAAAGTCAAAACATATTTCACCACAATTAAAATAGGCAAATTAATTATTCATAAATTTTCGAGAATAAATCAAATATAACGATTGATTGATTATTTAATATACATCAAAATGTTAATTAAAATTTTAATTAAATATAAAAACTTACGTGCTCCATATTTACGACGTATTAGCACAGCACTTTGAATTTGTTGTTATATTCTTCAATTTAGTTATACACCATTTGAATATTAAAACACTTTTATTAAATACAATATAATTTTTGTTAATTTTTAATATATAAAGTATTTTCTTTATATTGAAACATTTATAAATTGTATTAATTCGATTTCGTTTTAGACGTAATTTCGTAAGAATTCACCGATATGCAAACATGTTATTAGAATTAAACACTAAATACTAGAAATAAATTGAATACCCTTCAATGATTTTGTGAGAATACATATAATTAACAAGTAGTGTCTTTAAAAAATTTGAGGCACAAATGTTGCATTGCAAAATAATGTTATTTATAGCATCAATTGAACGCTTAACTACGTACAAAAAATTTTCACGAATACAAATAGCCCGCGTTAACATTTAATTTTTATTGTTTAGTTGCCGAAAAAGAAGGCGTTATTATTTTATAACAATAAAAAAAGACAATCTTATTTTAATTATTATTTTTAATAATTTTTAAAAACAATAATTTGATTTTTGTAATAACTGTTGAATTAAATAAAATAATTTTAACAATATCACCAAGATTTGATATATTAAACAAAACTTTCTTGTATATTGATGTTTAAAAGAGTTCGCATATGCAATAAAAATAAATTAACTGATTTTAAAATTTTGTCTTCATATAAATTATATATTCAGTTAAAATTTTATACTCCACCATCGCTTCCAATATAACACAAAACACTGAAGATTTGTAACAAAATAAATTGCAAAATTTAAAAATTTTGCATTTCCTACTAATTGCTAAAAATAGGATTATCTTTACATGCATGTTTATATATACGAGCAAATTTTAGTTTGTTTCTACCAATTCCGCAATAATTTATTAAAAATGCTGTAACATCGTCATTTAAATGTAAATCATTAAAAATGTGGAAATGAAATAAATTTTCAATAGTTCAATGGTTAGCTGATTTCTAAGATATACGATAAACAATATTTTTATTTATTTTTTTAATTTAGCAAGCATTTCCCTGATCTACAGCACAAATTTTTTTACTGTGTAGCCGACAGGTTTCATGCTTTCCATCGTTCCTTTCACAATTTTTAAAAAGTTAGGAAGTAAGCAATGCTGTTTATATGTTTATATGAGACACAATTTTTAAAATAAAAGTGAAAAGCAACAATCAAATTATAATAAATATAAATAACATTTACAGTGACTTAAACTGGTATGTCTAATATGTAAAACATAAAAGTATCGGCATATTAACATAAATAAAAAAATATTGTGATTGGTTAGAGTAATGTATAGCATATTGTCACATTAAAATGTATTATAAAATGTTGTTTTAATTTTAGTTTCTTAAAATAACTTTATAAACACATATAAAATAAATGATATTTCTTAAAATTCGTTTGTACATAAAAGAGTAAACTATTTAATTCTTAATTACAGCAAACATGCGTATGGAAGATGTGGATAAACTGACTGACCATGAGTTAAGAAAGCAGTTAACTCATTATGGATTACCTAATATGCCAATTACGGAAACAACTCGTAGATTATTACTGGAGAAACTCAAAAGAAAAATATACCAAGAAAAACAGGAAATGAAATTAAGAAAGCGCAACACACGTACAAGCTCACCGGTAAAACAATCAGGATATTCTTTGGGTGGTCCACAGGATTATGCCAGCAATGCACAAAATAATTTAAAAATACAACCCGAACTTGAAAATATTCCTGCCTTCAATTATATACCAACTTCATCTAATTTCACCACCAATAACCTATCAGAAAGATATTCAATGCCAGTAATGAACTCAATTGATGATAATTTCTATCAACAATTATTACGTGCCGAAAAATATAACGTTCATGATCCAAACATGGCAATGAATTCATTTAAGACACAACCTATGTATACAAATAATACATACGTCAACCAAAATTATACACCACATCCTCCAGCAGACTTGTACTATCAGAATAATTACTCACCGAAAACATCGTTAGATACAAATGCAGTTTGTGCCGGCGGCGATCCAAACTCAAATAATACACATTTTGGAATAGTAAATAAGCTTCTAAGTCTACGCAGTAAGTCGTTACCTAAACAGAATAGTTATAACATGAATGAAACTGACATGGCAACCGATAGACGTTTGAGAAGCAGTAATGCAGACAAGAAAATAACAACTAAAAGACTGATACAGCATTTAATAAATCGAGTACTTTATAAGCCCGAATTAAGGCAATCTTTTGTGCCACACGTTCTAATTATATTATTTTTTATATTTTTTATATCACTGGCCGCTATTTACATGATGATTAGACCAAATATACCGGCCACGCATCAAATTGAAAATACTAATGTAAAGATCTGTGAACTTGACATGGTTGCCGAAAAGGGTATGTTGTCGACGTGTGTGGAAAATGAAAGACTTGAAGAAGTTAAAACTTATATTAGGGAACTTTTGACATTACTGCAAAAACGTGCTGTTCACTATCATTGTATTGATTCTAGTATATCCGCAGCAGTAAGTAAGGAAGAATTTATAAAATATGTGCTGGATAATCTAACTTCAACAAATATGAATAATGTAGATTTTAATATACATGCCATGCAACATTTGATTAGGGCAAACTCTCAGTTGAATGTCAAAATTATGTCCAATGAAACAAATTCCGTGGACACAAACTCAAATGCAGTTGAACGTAATGTAATAACACAGTTTTTACTTGCAGTACCCCAACTTCCATTTAAATGCATTTTATTTAATAAATTGCATACATTTTTTATCATCATTGGTACTGGGGCTGTTATTGGCGCAATTGTGTTACTTGCGTATAATATATTTCTCCGTATTAAAAGAAGCAGTGATGAACGTAATCTACTAGTCAAACAATATTCGGAAGAGATTGTTAATGAGCTACTGTATCAAACCTCTTTAAAAAATGAAACTGGAACAGGCGAACTTATCTTAAACCATTTGAGAGATAAACTTATACCTATTAATAAGCGAAAAGCTTCTTTGTGGTCTTGGGATGAAGCAATACGTTTATTGGAAGCAAATGATAGTAGAATACAGTTTTGTATCTCTTTGCACAATGGTGAAGAGTTTCGAACATTGAAATGGATTGGACAATTGAATCAAAATGAAATTAAAATAAATGCAAAGAAACAATGGCAGAGTCCGGCATTTGATAATGTAAACAAGGTTCATAATCCGCCCACACCTTGTTTGAAAATTCGACATATGTTTGATAATTCAGATATACAAAATCCAAATTTGAAACAGATTATTAAAGATGCTATTTTAGAAAAGGTTGGATCCAGATGTTCGATGAAAGATTTACAAATCGATAAAAATACCTGCTGTGTATACATACGATGTCCCAAAGAGGAAGACGCTGGTATTATCCATAATGAAATCAATGGTTGGTGGTTTGACAATCGTTTAGTTTCTATTAAATTTTTACGATTACAACGTTATTTAAGTCGTTATCCAAACGCTATAGAAACCTAAATATTAAGTTAATTTAAGTTATACAGTTATACATAATCGCACAATTAAATATTGCTTTAAAAAGGTTGAATATTATATTTTTCGTTTGTTTAAATAAATTACATATTTTTAAAATAACGTATAATGTTTTGGTAATTGCTAATGCACAAAATAAGAACAGATAAGAGATAAAAGATGTAGGAGCATTGCATAGCAGTGAATTTATGACTATTAACTACGATAGTAACTCCTGATAAATGATGGTAATTTCATTGGGAGCGTCCAAATAATATTTAAAAAAAAATTTTAAAAAATTTAAAAAGAAATTTTATACAAAATGTGTAAGGAAATATTTGTAATAGGTGTTTATATATTTCTGTATATATGCATTATATATATGCATTTTTCTTATGGTATTTATAGAAAATCTGTTATAAAAAAAAGTATAGACAAAACTTGTATGTTAAATTTTGCAAATACTGCTTTTGATGGAGCTTCCAAAATTGTGATAGACTGGACACACAAGTTAATACAAAAAAATTTGGATATACATAGATAATTATGTCGGAATAGGAAAAATTGATCGATTATATACTATGTTAACACTCATTAGCATAATTTTGTATATATTTTTAATAAAAATGGTACATGTTACTTCATATATATAATATTCGACAAAAATGTGTGAGACAGTCTCCAGTACTCCAACTATTACTCCGGCTAGTTACATGGACATCGTGATCGTTTATAAACTACATTGCAATGTTATAGAACTCTGTTAAAATCTGCAGTTAAAATTGCACTATACTTTTCGTGAAAACCTAAACTAATCCAGTTGAATGGGCATGTAGTGACAATAATGCGCTTACAACGGCCACCAGGCATATGGAAAATAGTAAAATTCATATTAAAAATTTAATACTATAAATTTAAATGCGATGTTATTAAACCAATCTCGCATATTAACTGAAGCATTTTTATTTTGACCAATAATGTTAGCAAATACCTTAGAGTTTTATGCCCAAATATTACCAACAAAATCTGCAATTAAAAATTACTTAATATTGAAAACCCTTTCAATAATCAGTTACTGTATCAAAAAATTCCTATTTCGATGGAAGAAACTAGACATCAACTTTTTGTGATCGACATAACTAACAGAAGCTCGCATATTTTACATTTCACTTATATGATGTATTTAATCCGTCATTGACCTCATGCTTTGAAATGAGGTATACATTGAAAAAATGAATTTTGAACTATATCTTGTAGCAGCTCGTTCTTCCCGATGATCATGCGTTATTCACCATTTTCAATAGGGATTGTATTAGGTCATTTTAAAAAATTATATTAACAATAATAATGTACCAACAACGTTTGATTGCAATGACTGCAAATTTAATATTTTATCATTTCAAAACTAAAATAAAAAAAATTAATTAAATTTACAATAGGTAACTAGAATACTGCATTTAAACTTTATTATGTAAATATAAAAGTTTATATATTCATTTGTATTATAAATTATTTATTCGAATTATTTTCTGGGTACAGACTGGGATCAATACTTGAAAACCGATTTATGTTCAAAGCAGTGAGCAGTTTCATTTGTCCTTGAAATAATACATCAGCAATGAGTTTTTCAGCATAAATTGCCTGTGTGGCATCCATCGTTCTAAGTTTATGTGCAATTATCTTACCAAAATTCGTAAAATGATCATCCATGTGGTTTTGTATATTCTTACACGTTAAGCTGAATAATTTCTCAAAATCCATAGAGGTACAATCAAATTTTTGAGATTTTGAATTTGCAATTTCACTTTCATTTGATATATGTGATGAATTGGATGATGATCTTTTTCGGCAACTTTTCCGTTTATGGCGTTCTGGTGATTCCTTACCGAATCCAAACGTCTCTATAGAATCATTTACTGCATTATTATTATGTGTAGTTTCGGTTGTAGTTCCTGTTTTTTCTTCACTAGATTCATTTTCTTTTTTAAATATTTCTCTTTTAATGCGCGATTCTTGCCTTGTTTCGTGTATTTTCAGAACTTTATCAACCTCGGGTGGGTTATCGACAGGTGAACATATAACTTTTTCTTTAGTCGGTGTTTTCGGGATATCAATAAATTCACCAGGCGTTATATTTTCAACGCTCAAAATTGTAGCTGTTTTATTACTTTTCTCTATACTTTCCTTAGCATTCTTGTTCTTTTTGTCCAAGCTCTCCTCATCTTTTAAAAACATTAACGATTCGAAATATTTACGTTTTGGACAATAAGGTTCATCATTTTCACCCTTATTTTTAATTTCGTCGTATTTTTTTAACTGGTGGCGAAACGCACATCTTAAATTGTTTATTTTTTGCTTCGTTCTCTCAACATTGTAGTGTTCACCATGTTTTCCAGCAACTGCAATTAATTTCATATAAGCCTCCTGTCTTTTACTTCTATTCTTAAAATGAATAGAATCTGCTTTCCACAAACACGGATTATTTTTATATTCCTGTATGAAATCATCAATAAAATCCATATTTATTTATATATGCTCACAACGGCAACTGCAATAAATTGACTCCAATCTACAAACATTAGTAGTTACACAATATCGATAATTGACACTTCGAGACTATTGCATGTTATCGATTAAATATAAAGAGATGTGCTACTTCAATACAATTTTTTCTATGGGGGTTACAAAAAAATTATTAATTTGTTTTATTATTAGTTTTTGAAATCAGTATATTATTTTCATAACAAAAAGGAAATTTTATATTCTTTAATATAAATAATTATTTAAATTTTTATTAAGAGGAAATTTATAAAAAAGCAAAGGTTTTTACTAATGTACAATAGATCTGTTCCACAAGCTACTCGTTGTAACTTTGAATTGCAATGTGTGTACACAAGTGAGTTCAACCAGCAAATTTTCGAATAAATCACTTGGTGGATCACTTGGGGGAGCGTAACAATTCAGTCGAAATTTGAAAATGGTACATAGACTTTACTCGTACATTTTATTTTAAGTAAAATTTGTGTTGATGTTTGAATCAGCTGCATTGGTTTGAATTTTAATTTTTGTATTTGTTCTCTTCACACAAAGCTGTTCCATTAGGGCCATGTTATGCAAATTACGCTCTTTCGGGCTATGCCGAAAATGCATGTTATGCAGAGTGTCCCATCAATATTTCCAATTTTGTATTTTTACTACTTCTTAATTGTGCCTAAATTTAAAAGGAAATTTAGATATGCTCACTTTCAATTTGCCACCAAAAATAACTCGCATGAAAAAACACATAGAGGCTGTAATAATGTTAATTTATTATTATATTATTTTATAATAATTGTTAACAGTACTTACGCGTTTCTTTAAAATCGGAAAGAGTAATAATTATATTATTAGCGATTTATAAAAAAAATGCTGTGTTGCTTACTGCCATTTTTTCTCCAAAACGTACTAGAATTGTAGTAGTTTGCTCCTAAAAGGCGCAAATTTTGAAATTTATTACTAAACAACACTGTTTTGCCTTAGTGCCGGGGCACAAATACGCCGGCTCTCATGCCGGAGTTTGAACGGCCATATTGTTTTTTCTCTCATTCTCAAATTTAAAATTTGCATTGAAAACAAAAACAATTGTACTCATGCCGTGCCCGAGACACTCTGCATAACATGGCCCTAACATGGCCCTTAAAATCTGTGTAAAGAGCGTAATTTGACACTTTATTTGTGTTACGCTCTCAATTTGTAGTTTTATTGTGTTTTACTCTAGTTTTACTACGAGTAAATCGTGTAACACGCCTAATATGTAAGTTATATTATCAATAAAACTTGAAAATTGAATTTTATCGGAGAGAATAAAGTGATCAGCTTTTAAAACAATTATTTATAGCCGTTATTTTTTTTCCAGAGTTGTAAAAAAACAGCATTTAGTCTAATTGAAACATATTGGCACCACTTTTAAAATATGATAAATGCTTTTATTTTTTGACATATATTTTTGTAATGTTGTGTATAATTTAAAATATAAAAATTGTAAACACTAAAAATTAATTAATTTAAATCAAAGAAAACAAAATAAATAATAGAAGAATAATTGTAAGTATTTTTTATCTTATTATTTTGATATATTGCAATTTATTATTATTTTTGCTCATGTGATTTTAAGGGATGACTCGAATTTTGCAATATATATCCAGTGAGCATTTACAATTGACTGATTTATAAATTTTGCTGTACTGAAACTTAAGATTTTAAATAGTTTGCGAGTAAAACCTAACTCTGAAGATTTTAAGCGCATTGTTGCTGCTTCGCATGTTTTCTTGTGTAAATTGCGAGTATTATTTTTGCTACTCTGAAAGAAAACATTACGTCTTATGTTAGTGTTAGAGAAAGAAATATTTTTCGTTTTTCTACATATATGTATTATAATTGATAAGTGTAGTAACTTGTATAGATGTTAATATCTACTTTCGGTGGAAGGCTATAGGTACTTTAATTAGTAAAATATTAATAAACAGGTATTATTAGTAAGTCTGAATTTTAAACCCGGCGTCTGTATTATTACAGATGTGATGTGATAAGCTTAGCTGATATGTTCTTAAAATAGTAAAAAAAAGGGAAAAGTTTTTACTTTGTAAAAACATATTTTACAGTATATAATATGTTTTTTTAAATAATTATATTCTATATATGTATAAAGTAATGTACCAAATTTGTAGCGTCAATTTATTTTAGTATTTTTGTAGTATTAAGTAATTAACCGTTGTGTTGTTTATTGGAATTATCTCCACATGCTTTCTCTCCAAGGTCGAACCAATGGCAAGATTAAAACATTAAGTAATTTAAAATCATTAATAAAGAAGCTTTTAACGAATGCATTTCTTATATATGTACATATGAGGCAAAAGCGTCTTATAGTCTCCAAATTGCAAGCAAATTTAGTAAAAGGTTTAGAATTTTCACTAAAGTTATTTATTAACATACATTTATACATTAATGAACTTAAAACATGAGAAAACTCTTACATATATTAATGATACATTGTGATGTAGTGTGGATATAAATTTTAGACGAGGGACTAAGTTTTATCATTAATAAAACTGATAAATTAAAATAGCTAATAATATTTTTAAGGAAACTAAAAGTAGTTTAAATTAATTCGTATGGAAGTTTTTCTACAGATAATATTTTTATTTCACATTATTTTTACAGAAGTTATTTATTTTAATTTAATTTAATTTTATTTAAATAAATTAATTTATTTAATTTGTCTATATTTCAATACCGATATCTTTGCTGTAGTTGTAATGTATATAAATATAATTTTTAATTAAATTTTAATTATTAGGATTTTTAGTAGTGTCTACATAAAAGAACACTTTGTAGATACTCTTAATTTTACTCTTTATTATTTTTAGTTTAATGCTACTTCAAATAAATATCCTGGTTAGATCATTACAATTAAGAGAAGCATGTTTTCCTATATTTAAGTATATATTACATAAAAAACAATTTTTTGTATATATAAAATAACCATCCAATTTATACTAAAAATTTAATATTTTATAGATTACTCTAAGCATAGATTTTAAAATTATACATTTATGTTTTCTACACAATTTTTTTGGTTATAAAATTATATAAACGAATGAATAATCTATAATAGAATAATATGTTTTTCCATAAAAATGTTTATTATTAAATAATTTTTTAATCCATATACTATTTTGCTAACTGATATACACCACCTGAATAAAGCAGTTTGTGTTCTCGAACCTTTCGCTGCAGAAAATTTCGTAGATCATCTTGTGTGAATTCTATACCCACACCGTTTGATGCAAATAATTTAAGCATTTGATGGATCCGTTCTATTGGTAACGAGTCCAAATTAGTTAACATACCAACAATATAAGACCAGAAAACCTGATGATTTAATATTGATGAAAAAAAATTGTCAAAAAAGATAAAAATTTAAGTAAGTTATTATAATAGACCTGTAGTTCTTCCTCACGTTGGTCGCTAGCTGAAGCCATTGCTGATTCCATATCATCATCTTCCATTATATAAGGTGCTGTATCCATACTTTTTGAATTTGTAGTTTGTGCTGAATCATCAATTAATTGATAGGTGCCAACACTTACTTCTTTAATTAGACCATGGGTTTGCCAAAATCTCATACGACGGCGTAGAACAGTTGGAGGAACTTTAATAACAGAGCTAAGCTCGTCTAAGGTCCATATATCTAAAAAAAAATTTATAAATATAGTTTAAATATCAATTAAACAATATAGTTAAATATTACAACAAATTTGTTTTAAGCGCAATTTACAAGAATGTCTACAGATTTTTATGATTACGAAAACCGGTTAAAAACGTTATACCATTTCTCATACAACAAAAAAATGGAAAAAAATTTAAAAGATAAGATACTTTATAAACAGTAAAATAAAAAAATCAGATATTGATATACAATATCAAGCAGAATATTATATAAAGTCATAAAGATCATAAAACTCAAATAAGCACAAGATATGAGATCAAATCGAGCTGCAGAAATAATACAAGAAAAATCGTAAAAGGCACTATCTACATATAATTTGATTCTAATAATCTAATTTTTATTATCGAATGTTATGTTATCATTGTTGAATCTGTATTTCGCAAGGATAATTATTAACATGTAAAACATAACATAACAGGTAAGATGAGGTTAGGTCGATCTCACTAGCTGTAAGCCAAGCATAGACCCATTGGTCTCTAGAGATACCAGTTCAAGTGATATAGATTGGTAAATTTATAGTAGGCATATTATGTCTGATGTCGTCGCTTTTTGCGAATATAAAAAGTACTACAAATTCTATTCGTATATCGTCCTTTAATATATAAAGTTGTTTAACCTCCAAGCGTTTTAAGCGTGTCCGTAATGAGAAAAAAAAGAAAAATAAATACTTACCCCGATCTTGAAAATGGTATATTATTACAGCTTGAGTTGGAGAAACAGTCATTTCAACAGTTTTTCCACTGATTTCTATTTCAATTTGCACTCTTCCTGTAACCGTTCTCCAGTTTAAAGTTCTATTTCCTTTATAAGCCTCGTATGATTTTGTAAATTTTATAAACTCATTTTCTATTTCTTCAGGTAATTCCAAACTTTCTTTATTAAAGCATGGCCAAAATTGTGCAGAAATGATTAAAGTTGCAATATCAAAAGACTTATCTGAAATTCAAGAAAAATGAAATAGTACTTGGCTGAGTTAGAGAATTAATTGCTACATTCTTACTATCAATATAGTCCTTATCACTTTGTATATGACTATTTATACGTTTGGAGTCCGAAACATCTCGTAACATAACCTCACAACTGTGCAAAAGATTTTCTCCAAATCGTATTTTTAATAATTCTAAATTACGAATTTCTTTGTCTGCCACAAAATTGAGCTGCGTTAGTAGGCGATCAGCCATTAAGTTACGATACTCATTCATAAACAATTCCTTACTGCCGTAGATATCCACAATCATGGATATAATGTCTGCAGAACGATTTATATTAGTCGACTGTAAACTAGTTGTTTGGTCAACACTGACAGGATCTGGTGCCCAACTTTCCCAATTACTAGCTTCATCTGCAGCATCCAAACCAGGTTTATTTTTAAGAGTTTCACTTTTTGTGAGCTCTTCAGATAAGTCACTGGGACCTTCTTCTGTTAGACCAGTTACAACACGACGTACTGTATCGTTACGTTTTCGCAAATATTCTTTAATAGGTGCTGTGACAGTTTCCAATATAACGCCACTGCTATCAAGATATCTTATAGCTTTTATAGCAGCAACATAGCCGGTTATAATATCAATTGTATTTACTCCTGGATGCAGTATTCTTGCTTCTAATGATGTTTTAATCGTTTTAATAAAATATTTTCTTAGATCTATTTTTTCCATACAGATTTTTAAATCATCTAAAATTGGTATAGATTCCGGAAAATCTGTTGAAGAGGACATTTCATTATTTTTTTATATTTTCATTCAATGAAATAAATTACCAATTATAATATTAAAAAACTGTTCAATTACACTATGCGCGAAAGTCTCATACAAAAAGTAGGTGAGTTTAACTCGGAAGCATTGAACAAAGTTTTCAGATTTTTCATTTTCATCAATATGCAGACTATTCTTATTAAAAGTTTTTGCCAGCCAACTTAAAACAACTTCATCAAGCCACTACAAAAAAAAAAGAAGAAATAAAATTAAATTTGGATTGTATAAAGGTTGTTGTAAGCTTCTGTTAGTTGATTTTGTTGTTGGTAGAAATTTTTTTTATCGAAGATTTTGGATGATTTATCAACCTGAGGTTGATGAAGGCGCAAAAAGAGTTTCAAGATATATATTTAAGATAACCATTCGTTCGTTTCTATAGAGGAATACCTTAAATCGGTTAGATATCGGCATTTTGGCAAAATGTGCTTGCCTTTTCTCTTCTTCTACAGATCTTCTGTACTTTTGGTAAAATGAGATGCTCAATTCTTTGGTATTGATACCTATCACCTAAGAACTTTGCAGTAAATTTATGTTATTTGCTTTTCTAGAGAAGTTAGTAAGAGCATAGTTCCCAAAATATAAAACTTACCATTTCAAGTTTTTTTAGATGACTGCGATCAATGATTCCATAACAATTATTTTTTATATGGTCCGTCATTTGTTTTTGCACTAATAATGTAACAGTTTGACCAGCAATGCAATCTAATAAGTCCATGCTCAATAGTTTAATATTGGTTTCATTAATAATAATCAACAAGTTTTGACAGCAGCACCTCTCAGCAACATATTTACAACCATTACAGTTTATTGTTTTAAAACCCAAAAAACATGCTTCTATAAATAAATATATATATTACAATATATGTATAAATAAATTCATAATGTATTGTTTTAAATATTTTCTTACCATTGGTTTTACCTTCCGTATTACTGTTTATATTAAATGAAATGGTATAAAACGAATTTACAACTACGCTGAATTGTGATGGCATTTGTCCCAGCAGTGACTCACGAAAAACATCTTTTAATTTCTTTTGGCTTAGCTCCAAAGTAGTTATTTTAGAAAATATATTTTTCGAGTTATGTAATTGTTGGAAGGCATCATATAACAATTGATAACTCGCGTGCAATTCATTTACTGCCTCAACAAAGTTTTGGAACAATTGTTGATCGCGTTCATCTTTAGATGGTGGGATTTTTCCAATTATTTTAAAATGTAACCAAAATTTTGGTACAATCACATTACGAATGGTGTAGTGAAGTTCTAGCCAAGCAGCATCATACATTCTTTTCAAGACATCGAATTGATTAGAATGGATTCTCTTATTTTGACCTGCATGCAACACTTTTCTTTGCTGTTGAAAATTATAAATAGTTTTTTATTTACATGGATAACAAATTAACTAATAACTTACACTAATCGCTTTAAATAAATTGGTAATACTATTTAATATATCGGCAATTTCACTCATTTTAATATTTAAAACAAAATTTTAACTAGCGGCAATCACTGACGGGGGATTTGTTTACATACATATGTCAAAGCAAAGTGCATTGAAGTAACATCGTTGGTAAAAGCAATATGAAAAAAAAACATGTTTAGCCTTTTAAGTTTCATAACTTAAATATTTGTAAATTTTATTATATTATGCAAAAACATTTATTAATTAATATCAAATATTACTTTGAAAATTTTATATTTAAATATTATATAAACATATTAATTTGTTACAATCATTAGCTGAAGAAAAGTACGTTCAATTTGGAACGCTTATTGTAATAAGTTCCGTTTAATTTTTAATTTACATTTAATATAATTTATTGTAATAAAGACAATTTAATATATTTATTGTATTACATTTAATGAATTTAATGCCATTTATTGTAATATACATAGTTTAATACAATAAAACCATTAACTGTAACAATATGACATTTACTGTAATAAATCGTAATAAAAAGTATTTTAGTATTAAAAAAAAAATTTATTGTGTTAAATCGCACTTATTGTAATAAATAGTATTTATACTAAAAAGTGACATTTATTGTAATAAACGGCATTAATTGCAATGAATGTAATTTATTGTAATAAATGGCATTTATTGCAATGAATATAATTTATTGAAATAAATGCAATTTATTGTAATAAATGTTTCCCTATTTATAAAGAATCTCATTTAGTTCACCTTCTTGTGAAAAGTGAAACTCTAACAAAATAATTGTACTCAATACGTTGTTGATTAAATTATAAATAATTAAATTTTAATACATAATGGTATTTTTTAAATACTTTAACTTCGCACGTTAACAAATACTTTTAGATCTTTAGCAATTTTTTTTTGTTGTCCATATTGTTATACTAAACATTTATACAATTTTATTCTTAAAGTAAAAGTTGCAGCGCTTAAAGAGTTTATCGCCTACATTACTAATATGTAGTTTAATATGTAGTTAATTATGAAACTCTCATTGAATTCATCATTACCGTTTTTATACTTATTATGTAGGTATAAGGGTTATGTATCCAGTAACTGTTATTAAATAAATATTGTATGAAATCGAATATATAAATATTTTAATTTATATTACAGAATTTTTTTAAAATTAATATATCCATTATAACGGAAATTTAAAGTTTGTAACAAATTTAAAAATAATTCGCTGCATAGTTTTATAACATAAGGTTGTCAGATAATATAGTCCAGCTGAATGAGAACAATAGACTGTTAAGAGACATGTTATGCAGACATGTTGTGTTAAAAAATGTTACAACTGTAGTTTAGTGCACATAAAACTTTCAGAACGTCTAGCAAAGCATATTGTCAATAAAATTAAATAATAATTATTATATTAAAAATATTATACCGATGATTTTAATTTATTTACTTAAAACGTTGAATGTTAAACTATTGATAACATGGATTAAAAACATTGATAATTTTTCAAGTTAATTTAATTTTTAAAGTTAATATAAAAACTAAATTAATTGTTGTAAATTCAGTGCGAAATTATTTAATTGCTGTGCGTAATTTATCTAAAAATTTTTAAACGTTTTGCATATCTAATTATTTAATGTAATTTAAACAGTGAATTCAAATATTACTGACAGCCTGTCTCTAATTTAAATTTTTTACATCGTGTTCGTAATTTTGTTCTTGAAGGAAAATATAATTCTTTAACACGAAAATGATGTAAAGTTGGTACGAATATAGTGCTAACGAACTAGTGACCTAGATTTTAACAGTTTCAAATGCAAATCTAAATATTGATTTTTCATAAAGTGCATCAATTTCATTTTCAGTTGTGCGAAATTAAGAATGTTGAAGCGTTCGTTAAATATTTTTAAAAACTGTTTTGTATTATATTAATAAAACGATTTTAAATTTTAAATAAAATGGTAATTAACTATTACAGATTATAAAAAATATATGCTTATTTTTGTTTAAGATATGTGCTATAGAATGAAGCAAGTTAAAAACTATGACTAATTTACGTTTTGAATAGTTTAATAATTTTATTATAAATACAAAATATAAAGATCAAATTAACTGCTTCATTGTGTATAATCATTTGTTAACATTTTTAAACAATTAAATTTCCATATTAAATTATATGGAGGGTTACGACATAATGCGACATAATATTATTATATTATATTGTATTACAAAAAAGTGCAATTATTTAAAATCAAAAGTTTTATTTACTAGATTTTATTAGTATTGCATTAATAGCGAAGGGCAGCAAAAAGCGTATGCTTCTCAACATCCTGTAGCTAGTAAAAAACCACACATCTTCTATGCCATTGCTGAAGCGTACCCGAATGCAATTGTCTCTGTTTAAATCTTGACTCTAGTTTATTAATATATCCATTTGGTATTGAAACACTTGGCCTTATTGATAAGTGTTCTAGAAACACAGAATCCAAAGATTTTCCTGTTAATAGAGGAGGACCTGTCAATGTTCATTCACATCATCCAATATATTCTATCGTTCACAAGACTGTAATTTTCGACTTTTGCTAAGTTTTTTCAATTTTTATAGTATGACGTCACATTTTCTATACAATATAAATAATAATACAATGTAAGGAAATGATATACTGATTTATGTTATTTTTTCAAACACCATTTGTTACTATATTTTAGTGACATCCATAAAGCCCTACCCGGCATGCCTCGTACCACCTGGAAAAGAACCATCCGGCATGAAACTAACAAATCATTTAACGAATTAAGATATTTAGCTTTAAACAAAAATACCTGGCGATTCTATGTAAATAGTCCATGCTCCTGATGGAATACGGCTTTATAATAACATAAAGCCATAGACTGAGACCTACTTTACTCGCATGACCTACGAATTTTGGGATGTCATCGGTTTATGTTTTTTCCCTACTAATATACAAGTTTATTTCTCTTGGAATATCCAGAAATCTTCGTAAAGTAGTTAGTAGTTAGATTGCTTAAAGTAGTTAGATTTAATTACACAAATATGTCCCAAAAAAAGAAAGACTCTTTTAAGTTTAGTATCAATTTTCTTACATCCGCCATTACAGATCAATTTTTGAAAATTATGCATGCGAAAAGATTGCATCACCCCGTTGAGACCTGTGTAGCAGCTGTTGTTATGATGAGGACATGAAAGAAATAACTGAAAACTAATTGTGACATTGCTCAGGTGTTTCTAAACAAAGTGGTAATTCTTTAGGATATTTCTACTTTGTGCTATTAGCAGAGCTGGGCATAATCGTTTCAATAAATCTTAATAGGTTTGAATTTAGAACCATGTGGTTTATCAGAGATGGTTTAGGAGGTGAGGTGAAAGTATCTATAACGGGCTCTAGATTTATGTGTGTTTCAATATTTTCTATGATTTTCTATATTTTCTATGAACAATAATAAAAATTATAATAATAAAGACACATAATTTTTAAATGTAACAAATTTTTAAATTTTTATTTGCATCTGATAAACATTCCGTTTTTTATTTCAGGTGTGTCGAAAAATGACCCATAGTTCGTGTATTGAGTTAAATGAAATTCGCAAGTTAGATAGCATTCTGAGTCAGTGTGAATTGTTTATTAATAGGAATAAAACTGTTAAAAATAAGAGTATTTCCGAGTTTAACCAACATCAAAATCTACACAAGGAAGGATGTAAAATTAGTTCTACGCTGAGTTTGACAAAAATTATAGAAAAGGAACTATTTTCTATTATGTGTGAAATGAAAAACTCAGAAAAAAAATATATTTTCGTATCTGATGTACTTTGCAATTGGAAAATGTTTAAAGAATTTGTTTCGCAAGGAGAAAACGAACTTAATCCACAGGTGAATGTGCACAAGAGTTCGTATATGTATCATAAAATACCAAGAAAGTCTACAGAGGAAAACGATTTTATTTTCTCCAGGAAAACTAAGAAAAGACTGCCAAAAGAAGACTCCAGTGTTAACCGAAGTAACGACACAAAACTTGTTTGTTTATATCAAGGTTCTAACATTGGTAAAAAATGCTTTGAAGCTAATTTTCAATCTTTTGAGAATGGATACACCAAAGATATTGGTTCTTCGTATTGTAGTTTGGGTTCTTACAAAAGGAAAAACTGTTGCCAGAAATGTAATAAAAAAATATCAAGTGCGAAAGTTCAATGTACACCTATTTTTAATGCAGAAAATGAAAAGAATATTAAAAAATTACAAATAAACAATTTAAATGAAACAATAAAAAAGAAAATGAATGGAAAGAAGAAACCACAAAAAAATTCGATAGATAGCACGCTTATGAACGATTTTTCATACGCTAATGTCAATTCGAACTATCGTGATAGGAAATACTCTTTTAAGCACCTACTGAATGAGCAGTACGATGATATGTTGGATAAAGAGAACCTGCTCGGTACCAAACTGGAGTTAAAATTGCCCGATTCTGTGGAAACTGTAAGTGCGATTTTAATTATTGTGCTGTCATTCTAATTTATGCTATGCTAAAAACTCATTAATGGGAGAAACGTATTTAAGACGCGGTAACTGCTAGTGGAAAGTCTAGATCCGTTATAATATAATCGAAAACACTTTTTTATATAACATATTTTTTTTTCAATTTTAACAAACAACAAATAATGGGGATAGTACACTGCTAATCTTATAGCATTGTACGATTAGAATGGCAACATTCTCGAACTTAACCGCGAGTTATTCCAATTTTTTGCCCAATATTGTCTTCTTTGTTTTTATCTATTTTTAAATTATAAAAATTTAATTATTTATAAATAAATATCAAGGGGTGAATGATTAGTCATAGCCGATTTGGAGTTTTTAAAATAAGACTCTATACACATATATGAAATAAATATATTAACTAATAGATATAAAATAAGTAATTAAATAAAAGAAAAAATTAATAAACAAAATGAAAATATAACATAAATAAATAAAATGTAAAACAAATAAAAACAACCCAAAAACCAGACAAAAAAATCTTAACTCTTAAACAGTAGAGTCCGCATAACCAGATACTAAGGAGAGTATCCATTCATTATATTTAATTAATACGTGCATCATAATAATCTCTCAAAAACAACAATTAATCGTAGTTAATATTGTGTTAGAATGTGAACAAATACTGATATAGAAATCATCCAATTTTTTGAGAACTTGAAATGTCTGTAGACCCTAAGAGTATAAGTCTGGTTGAAAGTCTTGACCAAAAGGATATGTTTTGGTTTTTGGTTCGTGACAACTGTTGTACGACAATGTAAATAGACACAGATGTTGACGCCCACAACAGTTCCTTGAACTTTTTAAAACTTGTACTCGTGTTTTTAAGTATACTGTTTAAGGTCGAAATCTAAGTGTTCTAAAAAATTCTAAGTGTTCTCCGCTTAGGAAAATAGTGCTTATTATGTAAAAATTCCATCATGAACAAAATGTTTTAAAAAAAGTTTCTGTATCTGCCATTACGGTCAGTTTGAAAATTAAATCAGTTTAAATTTGGTTTAACTTTAAAATTTAAATAAATTAAAACTCAATTTAAATTTAAAAACTATACATTAATAGTTGGATTTGTATTAATAAAATCTATAGAAGTCTTTGATTCGACAATAATTTCTTGTTCACTATAATGTTAAGATCCATTAATATTTAAAGGTTATAACCAAGTACTCCTAAGATACTGATATGAAATTAATTTTTTTTTTAAAAAACATTTATGTTATTTCGTTTTCACCTAGTATGCTTGAATCACTGTTTATATTAATGAAAACATGTTATTTAATAAGGTTCTTTCTCTGGGTGCTAATACATACCCTGAACAGAAGGATCACCTGCGTACTGATTATCATTGCACTATATTACATTATTCGCCTTTTAAAGCAGTTTGGGATTGGATTATTTTAATACTTGTTATGTATACTGCCATATTTACTCCATATGTGGCGGCATTTTTACTTGGAGAAACAGACTATCAAAGTCGAACTAATAAATTTATCAATAGTGATCCAATTGTGATAATTGATTTAATCGGTAAGTAGTTTCACTGTAACGTATGTATATAAATTTATTAAATTATATTAATGTTTTTTAATTGATTTTGTGTGAGATATAGTGGATATATTTTTGTTTTTAGTATTAATTGATAATCAGGAATTTGTATACTATAATTAGAATAAGACACTAAATAATACTTCTTTACGAGTATTGCGTAAAGAATTAGTTCGATAGCCTTAAAGAAAATCACTTAAATTAATACATATATATTGAAAAAATTGATTTAATACTTAATATAGCCGTTACTTTATCTCTAATTAATAATAATATTATTTTTTTTCGATTTTACTAGTGGATGTAACATTTGTCGTAGATATTTTAATAAATTTTCGCACAACTTTCATCAATGGACAAGATGAGGTAGTTTCTCATCCAGGACGAATAGCAATTCATTATTTAAGTGGTTGGTTTCTCATTGACTTAGTAGCTGCTATACCATTCGATTTGTTGTTAGTAGGAAGCGATACTGATGAGGTATATACTATATTTGTATTTATAAAACGAGAAATCATCAATAAAAGAATCTAGTATACGAGTACTAAAAATTTTTTATATATTTTATAGTCATTACACACTTGAATTCTAATTTCAATAAATATTCTTTGAAATGTTGCTTATATAGTTAACTGATCTGATTTATTAAATTAATAATTAAGTTATTGGGTTATGAATAAATATTAGTTACATTTTAATGTGTGACATAGTTCACTCTAAATAATAAAATATAATTTTTAAAAAATAAAAAATATACTTTACTTTTTTTATAACAATATCGTCTATTTAGACTACAACTCTAATTGGCCTACTAAAAACAGCGCGCTTACTACGTCTTGTGAGAGTCGCAAGAAAAATAGATCGTTACTCAGAATATGGTGCAGCGGTTTTAGTGCTGTTAATGGCTACTTTTGTATTAATTGCTCATTGGTTGGCTTGTATCTGGTAAGAATTGAATTTAACAATAAACAATATTTTATATTATTGTAGAGAATTATTATATTTAATAATCTATAATTTTATTTTTATTTTAGGTATGCAATTGGAAATGCCGAAAGGTCTATGCTACCAAAGAAAATTGGTTGGTTACATTCATTAGGAAACGATATTGACGAACCATACTTACCAAATGGCACTGCAGGTCCAACACTTAAGGTATATGTATTGGAAATGTATCATTTTGCTATTATATAAATGATTCTTATAAAATACGTAATATATGAAAACAATATTTTAATATTTATCACTTAATTTTAAAAGTCTGAGAAGCATTCTTTATAAAATCACAAAATGATACGGATTATCAACTAGGAGTGTATACAAAAATTCAATAGTTTTTAAAAAGTAATTAAAACTTCATAAAAAAATATTTAATTAAAATTAATTATAATAAATAATATAAAATACTCCAAAAAATTTATAACTGGATTTATAACTGTAACAGGAAACCCACTCTGTAATAGGAATTTAATTTACTGTTTGATTTAATTTTTAAAGTAAACGAATTTCGGAAGTTTTTAATCTCTTTTATTTTTATTATATTTAATAGAGAGTATTTTTTTCGAAAATGGCGATGAATATAACCCCACTGCGGCTATTTGACATTGAAAGCCCCGGTTATACACGCTATTGTTGTCAACACACTATAAAAAAATTAATGTCTAGTAAATAGCAAATAAAAAGGAAATATAAAGATTTAGGAGACTATAAAAATTTTGAAAATCTAAATGTCGTGCTCTCTTCTTTAGCATTCTTTATAATGCTTCTACTATTCAATTATTTCACTAATTGCTTTCTTTATATTGCTTTTACGGTTCAATTATTTCTATAATTGGGTTGATTATCATGTTTAATAACTAAAACATCTACTTCTCTGTGAATGAATTAATGTTGGCAAGATCGTATCTTGCAACAGAACTAGACCCTCAACCGGTCTTTTTATTCGGAACTATCCTTCTTCTAGTCTGGGTGAACTTTAGTTGCGGTGCGCATGGATGACCGATTTTACACCACTTTAAAAGTTAAAATTCACATTCATACTTATCTTTGGATTATATGGATAATTGTTTTGTTAATATACTAAGGATATTATAATTCAAAAGTGTGTTTAACTTAGTAGAATTACAGCAATAACTTTTTTGAACTTGAGGTGGTAGCTCTAGTTAACAATTTTCATATCAAACATTAACAGAATAATCTATTATTGCCAAAATTATTTTAATAGAACAATTGTATTTCAATTTGCTTCTCCATAAAAAAAATTCAACATGATTTTAGAAAAATATAAATATATTTTAACCAACAATGTGTTTTTAATTTCAAAAGCTAAAATTATGTTTTTTAAATAAATGAAAACGTTTTCTTTCGGAAGAACAAAATGATGGTTTAAGAAATATCTAGTAAATATAATTTTTATATAAGTAACAGTATAGTATTTTTATCTAAATGTCACTTGTGGCTTTATTGAAGTAATAATCATTGCCATTTTCGAAGAAAAAACTTCCTATAAAATTTTTATACGAAAAAATTAATTCAGATTCAGTAATTTAAGTTCTTATTACAAACAAAATGGGCTTACTGTTACAGTTAACAGTTAAGTGGCAAAGTGACAGTTAATATATAGAAATAATTAATATGTATAGAAATTGAAAATAAAAAAAAAATTCACAACATAGTTAACTAAACTAATTAAGTAAGACATTAACATTGATCTCATTTTCAAGTGAACTTAATAATCTTGATATTGCATTAAAACATAAAATAAAATATAAGAAAAATTAATAAAAAACAAAAAGTGCTAACGTATCTAGTTAGTTATAAAAAATGAAATAACAATGTAAAAAATATTGTTGTGGTAAACCTCTCCAGTGTTAAAAATGAAAATTCAAACGGATATAACCTCACTGTTGAAAAAATCTGAAACTGTTCACCAAAAGGAATTCAAAATACAGTCAAACTTCCATAACTCGAACTTCTATAACTTTTTCGAATTTTCTATTACTCTGTTATTTTCTGTTATAACTCGAACTAAATAGAGTGCAACAGGGTATAGAGAGCAAATTACATACAATTATAAAAAAAATTTTTAACTTAAAGTTTCCATAAGTCCACCCTTTTCTTTGCATAATGGTACTGGGAGTTATGGAAGTTTGACTGTGTGAGTTGAATTTTATTAATACTCCTGTAAGAATTGCTCTTTTAATATACGTATAATATCTATTTACTATTTTCAGTCCAGATATATAACAGCACTATATTTTACTTTCACATCATTAACATCAGTTGGATTTGGTAATGTAGCCCCAAATACAGATGCCGAAAAAATATTTACTATATGTGTCATGTTGGTTGGATGTAAGTATGAAAAAGTTTTTAAATAGTTTATTATGAACGTAGTTTTGATATAACCATTCAGTATAACATATTAGTTTGTATTAGTATATCAATTTAAATAATTTGATGAGCGTGTTTTTGATTTATACCTATTAGTAGTCCTCATAAGATACATACTTTAAAATAGTAGTTGGAATTTCATGGCATGTCGTTAAGTTTAAATGGTTCATTTGTAGTAAATTAACTTCTATGAGATTGCTTAGATTTTTTATTTGTATTGTTTTCATTTTCATTGATTCATTGATTCAATTATGTTACGTTTATTAACTTCTTTAGCAGGCTTAAATATTTCATAGAGTTCATAAATTGAAAACATTAAATATTCTCTCATATCTTATCGCTATACGTTTTTGAAATATTCAAGTGAATGTATTGTTCGAAAACCTTAATTAAATTTATTCAAACAGAACTGGGTTATTACTTTGAGACTCAAACAAGAAACGCAATAGTGTCCAGAAGAGACGAAGGCTGTCGTTATACAAACGATCATAGAAAATGTTCAAGTTTTTTAATTGCAAAATAGAGAAGTAATGGGGCTAAGAGATAAGAAAGTAGAATTCATAACAGTTATAGTTACAGTGGAAATAAATGCTATAATCTTAAAAATTTCAAACAATTTTTAAAACAATTAAAGATAAAATTTTTAAAAAATATATACAAGTATTTAGCATGATCAATTTGCATATTTATAAAGTTGTAGTTACTACGATCATTACAACAGTGTTTACATTATCTGTTGATAGTTTATATATAATTACATATTGGATCTAAAATGTTTAAATCAGAATTTAGAATTTTAGTTGTCTTGCTATATTAATAAAAGTAACATTTATGGAAGTCAATGTTAATTTTAGCATGAGTAGAATATTTCAGAGATGGAAGCCAATGTTAATTTTAGCATGTGTGGAAAATTTTAGAGATGAAAAGTGTTAGCTTGCTTTAACTTGAGCATTTTTTATAGTTATTTGATCGTTTGTGTATCACTGGCCTATTTTTAATTGACAACATTTGTATATATTTTTAGCGCTTATGTATGCCAGTATCTTTGGAAACGTGTCAGCAATAATACAGAGACTTTATTCAGGTACAGCCAGATACCATACACAAATGCTTCGTGTGAGAGAATTTATAAGATTTCATCAGGTACTTATAAATTTCTTAAGAGTAAATTAAAAATGAGTTTCAAAGCAATTAATATTTGCAGATACCCAATCCACTTAAACAAAGACTAGAAGAATATTTTCAACATGCATGGACTTATACAAATGGAATTGATATGAATTCGGTTTTGAAAGGTTTTCCAGAATGCATTCAAGCAGATATAAGCTTGCATTTGAATAGGAAATTATTAACTTCGTGTAGTGCATTTTCAGGAGCAAGTCCAGGTTGTTTAAGGTAGGAAAACAACAGTTGTAAGGTTTCCAATACACAATTATGGTGGAATAGTTTATGGATATGATTTGTTATTGTTGCTATAATGAGAACTGAATAAAGTTGGTCTATTAGAGGTCACTGGGTCGCGAACTATACTCTCCCCTTCTCCTTTTTTGACATTAGGAGGTCCTCAACGGTTGACATTTTGGCTTTCATTCGGAAGGCGGAATGTCTTCTGTTCGGTTAGGGTCTGTTGCAGCAGAAAAGATCAATCATAGTCGCAGTGCTTCGCTCTATTGGAAGCTGCTACCCTGTTTATTTCTATTCTATTCTATTCTATTATAACAAATAGCTTTACTAATAGGTTTGTGTTTCCGATTTTTTAAAAAACGATAGAAGATATTGATTATATGAAAGTAGGATATTGAATAATATGTCTGTATATTATATAAATGTAAATGATTTGTCATAATTGTAATATAGTTGGTTTTAACAAAATTGATTTCCGCAGTAATATATTGAATGATTATTATATTTAATTTATTTTTAAATAATTAAATTTTCTAAGTAGAAAAAATGAAAAGTATTTTAGAAAAATATTTTATGGGCTTATTCAACAATATATCTTTAACAAAATTTCATACTTTAATACTTTTAACTATATTGGTTGAAATGGATATTGAGTAGTTTTGGATACTATTAAATAACCATTACCAATTATTTTTATTTAAATGTATTTAAGTTTAATTATGTACTATATATTTACTTACACTGCGTTTGGCAGTAATAACTCTTATATTTTATAGTAATTCTATACAAAAGTGCGCTAATGAGGTTTGATAATTAACATATAAGTGTAAGCATAGTATAAAGTTGCCAAATAGGGAATTTTCAAAATATATATATATATATACCTTATTATAAAGTATTATTATAAAATCTACAGAGTATTTTTGGGTATTAAAAAAGTTCTTCACAATTTTTAATTATAATAAAAATTGGTAAAAAATGATATTTAAAATCATTATTATAAAAATTATAATTTAAATATAATGAAATTATGATTATCTAATTCTAGAATTTTTTTAATGTACCGTTAATTTAGATTTATTTTCCTTAAGCAGGATTTGTGCAACTTTTATTGTAATTTGGTTAAATTATCTTTTGCTCATTTAATTTATCTGCTTGGGTATTGCAGTAGTGAGGGAACAGATCCAGAGTTTCTATCTGACTTTCATAGCATCTAATGAGATCAGAAATATTGAATCAAAGAATATTTTATGATTTATCAATAACTTCAACTTGTCCAGATTTGTCTAGATGCATTGACTTCCAAATGATTTCATAAGTAAAAAGAGTTAAGATTTTATGTTAAACCTTAATTCTAAATAAACCTTAATCTAACCTATCGTAGCCTAGGTTACGTTTTTATGGGATAGTGCAACATAATTTTTAGGCCCGAAAGCTTTTATGAAATCAGTTCAGTGTCTCCATTTGACTTTCAATGAATTATATAAGGTCTGAAAACTCGGTTATGATGTTGTGTTTATCAATATGTAAGAACATAAATTTATATTTGTATAGGTATTTGTAAGATAATTATACTCAATTAGATTATTTTTAAATACAATATGTATATATTGGATATAATGATATTTGTTCTTATAATATAACTTAATTCAACTTTCTTTTAACAGGGAAGATATTAGTTGTGCTTTTACAGTACAAAAATATTTCTTGTTGATCTGTCATTTGTTTTTGTAGAATCGGTTCTAATGTATCTTAACCTTATATTTTCTTACAGTTGTCAAGCAGTTATTTCGTAAATATATTATTTTATTTAAGGAACTACTTTTGATGTATATTTTAGAGCAAAGTTATATGTGGATCTATTTTACTCAAGCATATGGCTGTGTACCTACAGTAATAGACATGTCCGTACATACATTTTGTACTACACAACGATAATGCATTTATGGGTGTAAATGCATGTGATAATATTCATTTTTTCAGATTAACATATTCATACATATATATATATATATATATATAAAATATAATATATAAGTATATATATGTGTTATTTTTTTTCGAAATAGAAAATAATTTTTATATTTATTTTTAGGGCTTTATCACTTAAATTTAAAACTACACATGCCCCACCCGGTGATGTCTTAGTCCACAAAGGCGATGTCTTAACATCTTTATTTTTTATAGCTAGAGGTTCAATTGAAATTCAAAGAGATAATACAGTGGTAACAATATTGGGTAAGTTTCAAATTTACTACATTCATAACATTATTATCAACCTTATAGATATAGCGAGCAGAATTCGTATAAAATTTGTAATAACGTTTATCCAAAGTTAATTTAAAGAATGTTGTTTTATGATATATGATCACCAATATTCGAAATTGAATTGGCAAATAAAGAAGAAGTACATTATTATATTAAATGAATATGTGTAAACTTCAATTTTATTTATTGGATGAAATATCTGTTAAGTTTATTTTAAAATAATTAAAATTAACATATATGTAATTTTTTATTAATAATTATAGGGAAGGAGGATATTTTTGGAGAAAATCCTTGCATGTATCCGAATATTGGAAAATCGAATAGCAATGTACGTGCGCTTACTTATTGTGATTTACATAAAATACATCGAGATGACTTATTAGATGTATTGGAATTGTATCCAGAATTTTTTAATGCTTTTGTAGCGAACTTAGATATAACATATAATATGAGAGATGTAAGTTTCACACAAATTTTTTTTTTAAATTTTATAAAAAGTGCGTCAAATATTTTCAAGACCTATTGTATAATCTATAACAGCATGTTTGACAGCATGTTCATTTTGTAAAAATTTTTGTACTGGCTTAAATCTATTTATATATATATAATTATTTTCTCATATCTTAAAATTACAATTCAGAGTGCGGACAATATTCTTACTAAAAGATATTTTTACATTATGTTGCCACTTTATTTTACTCAGATTCAAGCATTGAAGACACTAAGATTTTTTTCTTTATATAGAGTTTTAACTATATCCCGTTTAGTTACATGTCAAGAACTTTACTTTTAATAACATATACTTTTTCATTAATAGATTAGAAGTTGGATATATTATTTACCAACTAAGTCCTATAGATAGTTACCTACATTTTCGTATATAATATAAACTACAGGAATTTTTCAGTTATATTAAATTTTTCTTTAATATATGTAAAATATTTTTTTTTCAACTGTTTTTTATAGGGTGTTCAATAATAAGGTGTTTGATCTTATTGTATATTTAATATAAAAGCTATAATAAAAATTACAATAGTAGCATTCTATTAAGTTTTTGGAGACACTTTAGAAAAATAAAGATTATCTATTTATACTGTTAATTTTTATAGGAACAACAAATTGCCGTTGATGTCAAACATAGATATATACGAGCAAGATGCGGAGATTCTGATAGAAGCACCAGTGATATTAATTCCGTGAGAATGTAAGACCTTTTTTGAAATGATATTAATATTTTAAAGAACATAAATTAATTAAATTGATCCGATATATTTTTAGTTATGGTCCGCGAAATAAAATGCAAAAAAATGGTAATATTCGTAAAAAAATTATGCACGAACCATCTTTAGCTGGTAATAATCAACTAGGCAATATCGAGAAATGCTGTGGATGCAAAAACAAAAGTATGTATTAAGTTCAAGGATCAATTTTTATATTCTAATATATTGTAAGTAACTGCAAAATAAACATATATTTATTTGACTACAGAGACTTATAGTCCGATTTCTAAAAAACTGTTTTTTAACTTCGTGTTTAAATTCGATAATAACTTTTTACTTCATTAGTAATATATATTACGTATATATATTAAACGTTTAATGATCGACACTAGTGGATATTAAAATTTTATGAAAATGAAGAAGTTATAATCTCTCTATTAATCAAAAAAATTTTTCTTCTCCGGTAAAAATTTATTATTTCATTTTATTTTAATTGCATACTTGTAGGAGCAAAACAAATTCAATTTTAAAGATAACTTTATAATAATTTATTATTGGAAAATAAATAACTTAAATATAGTATAGATTTATTATGAACAGAATTTATAATATTTGTATAAAATATTTTTTTAATTCTAATTCGAAAAATATGCAACTATTATAAGAGAACTTACAAAAACTAGAAACAATGAGTTATTGCATTGTTCAGCACAGAAAATCAAAATGAAGATTTTTTTCTATTACAGGAGACGGACAACAATGAACTATTTCATACTCTCTTCTCTTTTTCACAAAATGTTTTTATCTCTCATTTCCTTTCTAAAAGACTCTTTTTAAATGGTTTTTTATGGTATGTAGGGAAATTTCTTTTATTACTAGTCTTGTTAATTATTTAAAATTATTATAATAAACAATTAGGAGTATTTAAATTTTTCCTATTACTATTTTTATTAATCACACATATTCGACTTATTAAATTTGCTAACTTTTGCTTCTTATTTGGTTAGAGTTCAGGGTCAAAAAAATTTCAAAAAATAATAACACCTATTTGACTCTGATATGCACATGCTGTTAATACTTAGCTTAGATTTACAACAAGAGCATAACCAGGAACGCCAATGGCACAAATGTGTGACCAACTGGCCCATCCCTAGCTACGCCCATGATGTATACACTATATTGAAATTATTTTTATATATTATTTACTCCTTCATTAGTTTTATAAACAACAATTTCTTATAGTAAAAATTTCAAATTGTATTAATTTTATGATATTTATTATATATATACTATATAAATTTTTCTTTTTCTTCATTTTGTAGCTGCCTTTCGATCACCTTCTATTAAAATTACATGTTAACACGAACGAATTTTTTGTATTGGAATTTGTAAATTAAAAATAAAAAATATTTATATAAAAATGTATAAATATATAATTGTTTTTTATTTAAATTGTTAATCGTTTCAGCAAGAAACGCAGTTGTATAAAGTAATGGAAGGATCACTCCATCGATCACTTATATCGAAAAAATTAACGAATTAATCAGTTGAAATTAATTCAAATGATATTAATAAATAATTTATTGTGTCTTTAATAATTTATTAAATAATTTATATTAAATTAAGTTTAAAAAATCGCAAATGAATGTCTTAAAAACTCTTCCAGTAGATATATTTAATTAAAATTGTATTAATCACAAAAATATTTTTTTATATGAATCTTGAACTTAGATAAGAAAATCTATTGCGATGTTAAAGGATTAGTTTGCTTATCTGAAAGTAAGTAATAGAATATATTAGTTAATTTTACTTTAACTTTCAATTTTCAAATATTTATTCTAGTTGATATATCAGCTATAGTAAAGGACATTGCTGAAACAAGATATGTTTGTTATCCTTCATGTATAGAACAACAAGTAACTTATATTGGGTAAGATAT